TGATGTTACCTGTCTGTCATGGGTTTGGAGGGAAAGTTCCATCCTATGGGGAGTGGAAGGCGGGACATCAGGAGGAGGGGCTGTACTGTATATAAATGTGATGCGTGTGTGGTGAGAGAAGTTTAGATGCTGAGATACTGAGAGACACTGAGAGACGCTGGGATGTGACGAAGCAGCAGCTGGGAAGAAGGAGCTGTTGTGGGAGTCTGTGTGTCAGACAGGGTACTACTGTGTGTCAGAGTACCAACCTGATAGGTTCAGGTGTCCTGCCAGTAGTGATAACATCCTGCTCTCCTTGGCACCATGCAGAATCTACTTCCCTTTTCCTAGTGGTATGGGTAGCACAGCTTCAGTGCCTTATGAAATGTTGTCGAAAACACATTACTTGCCTTTTTAGCTTAGGATGCAGATGACATTATAGAAGACTAGTATTATGAAATAATTTTTTTCTCTTTTCCCTTATTTCCATCTTAGGCATTCCATTCCCAGTTGATCAGTATTTTCTGGAAGATGCAATTGCATTGACTGGGTAAGGCCTCATACAGTGGGCATCTACCATATCTTTTATAGACATATAGTTTGTTTAGCTGTTAGAATTGTTATTTCCATCTTAGGTAGGACATTCCCAGTTGATCAGTATTTTCTGGAAGATGCAATTGCATTGACTGGGTAAGGCCTCATACAGTGGGCATCTACCATATCTTTTATAGACATATAGTTTGTTTAGCTGTGCATTTAGAATTGTTTCCTTAGGTTTCCTCCTTGTTCATATCCATAACAGATTGCAGGACAGTGTCCTTATCTTGTAGCCTCAACTAATAGTGATCTTAGGCAGTGTGTGTTCAATATTACTGCTACAGAACTGCTGAATAGTTCATTGGTTTAAGTATCTGGTGGCAGAGCCAGAGGATGGGAGTTCAGTTCCCCAGTGTGCCTCCTTGACAGAGGCTGGACTCCATGATCCATAAGGTCCCTTCCAGCTCTGCAGTTCTAAGATGATGATTTTTAAACTATGAACACCAGAGCTTACAATCAGGATTGCTCCCAGTACCAGTGGGCAAATTTTATATATACTTTCTGTCCATTAGAGCAGTGGTCCCCAACCTTGGGCCTCCAGATGTTCTTGGACTACAACTCCCAGAAGCCTTCACCACCACCTCTGCTGGCTAGGATTTAAATCCAAGAGCATCTGGAGGCCCAAGGTTGGGGGCCACTGCATTAGAATACATGGGAAGAGGAAATAAAAGTCACAGAAGAGAATGAAGGCTGTAGTTTGAAGGCTCAGCCTGTGTGACAGAGCCGAGGGCTGGGCCAAGGCATTGAATAACTGCAGTCCAACCCAACACAGCTATAGTTTATTTTGAGATATTTCTGTGTACTGCTTCCCATTTCCTTATGCTAAAAACCTTCTTGACAAAAGGGATCTTTTCAGTGTCTCTGCATGAGAATGCAAGATCTCTATAGCAAAAGCAGGGAGACTGGAGTTAGATTTAAAATAAAAACCTGGAACATGGAGGTCCGCCAACTGGATCAGATGCAAAATGATGATGGTGGGGTGGTGCTGGCAGAGCTGGGAAAGATACTATTTTGAACTACAACTCCCATAATCCTCTGCCCAGCATGGCCAGTAGTTACAGTGTCTGGGGGGAATTCCAGGAGTTGTCATCCAAAAAATGTTACATTTTCCAAGTTCTGCCATGGGAGAGGAGAAGCTTAGAATCCTCAGAATAAGGAAACAGTTCAAAGACACTCATAGCGCTGGAGCAAGCTGAGCTGATCAGTGCCACATCTAGGTTAATAGTCTTAAGCACACACAGAAACCCCCGCTCTTGATTCTCTCAACCTGAGAGTTTCTTCCATGGAATCATAGAATGATTGAGTGGGAAGGGGCCTGTAGGGGCATCAAGTTCCATCTTAATTTTGATACAGATAAAAGCTTTTGATAAGTCAGAAACAATTGCCTGTCACCTTCACTTCACCTAGACTTAACCAACAGAACCTGGAGTAGAATCTGCCCAGCCTAACGTAACTCTTACAGGAGAAAACTATTACATAAAGCAGCCTGTGAGATCTCTTTGGAGGAGCCAGCCATATAAAAAAGGTAGGATTCCTGATTGACTTGGCCTTGTTTCTCTGTTTGTGTTCAGGTATGTCTTGGAGCATGGTAGTCCATACATGCACAGGACAAATCAAGCTGCAGGTAAGAAATCAAGACACTTCAGGACAGCGGCAGAGGAGGTAGAGGAGGACCTACGGCGTGCTGGCTTGGTGGAGAGAGCAGAAACGGTCAAGGATTCTGTCCCAGATCAACAGCTAACATTCCAACAGTTGAAGGTCCGCTACAAAGGTAAGAACTCTTTATATATGCATGGTACCCATTTTTAAGAGAATATTTTAGAATAAAACTATTATATGTACAGCTAAGGGCTTTCAAATGTAGAATACCTACTTCATGCGTATGGATTTGCAGGAAGGTTATAATGGGAGGTTTTCTATTTGAAGAACCTTCCCATTCATTTCTAAGCAAGAGGAAGCAGTAATGAGTCCTTGTTAAATTTTGCATTCTGCATGGTTGTTATTAGGGAATTGTGCACCAGAATTGCCCAAGGTGGCTTACAAACTTCTTAAAAGAATATGTAACTTTTTGCACCTTTGTTTATACTCATCTTTCTCTTTCAGGCACTAGCTTATCAGTGTTAAAAACAATGGCAGCTATGGATTTGGACAAGGTTAATCTTGAATTAATTGAAGCCTTATTGGAGTGGATTGTCAGTGGCAAACATTCATATCCAACAGGTAACATGACGAGGAACAATAACCTAGATTATAAATTTATTCATCTGAGTTATTATTGCAAAGTGATTGTTTCAGACCATCTGTAATCTTTTAAAGTTTAATGCTCCTCCTGTTATATTTGTGAAAACAGTTGTGCTCTGAAAATTCAGATACCAGTTTATTATGTTTGAACAAATTTTCTTTTTAAAATTGAATGGAGGCTTCATTGAGAGAGCACAATGAGCTCTCAGTGGCAGGAACCCTTTTGAGATGGCAGGTTTTCCAAGGTATTGTTACATTGCTTCAGTTTTGCAAGGCAGTGTGAATGTTCAGGAGACGTCTACTGAACACATCAGATCTAGGCAAATCCACTCAATGAAGAGTAAATCAGAGACAGAAAGAGAGGATGAAAAGACGTAACAATGAAAGAAAAACATACAAATATAGGAAGACAGCTAGTTCACAGGGAACATACCCCCTACTGTGAACTGTTCAAGTACTTTCATTTGCAACAAAGTGCGACTTCACATTTCACATAGAAAAAAAGCCAATAAAGTTGGAATGGACAGACAAGAATGAGGGTGCAAGAGAATAAAAGCATCTACTGCAGTCAATATTACAGCTGAAAACCAGTTTCTTAGTTCAGTTCATTACTTGCTTTTAATCTATCACTCTAAGTTTAACTGAATGGTATGTGTAGAAACGGTAGCCTTACTGTTTTGACTACATGCTAATTCTCTACCTTCTTCTGGACTGATGTGCACATTGGAGCAAGCAGCTTGTGCACCTTCAGATGTTTCTTCAAGCTCCATCCCCCATTAGACCTAACCAGAACAACTAGTGGTGAGGAATTATGGGACTTGAAGTCCACAACATCTGAAACACTGTAGAATTGCCCACCTGAGTTTACATGAAACAGCTCAATGTTTCAGCTTGATAATGTTTGGGTTACTTTTTTTCCCTTTACCTTGGCAGTATTTTCTGTGCTGGTAGAATAGAACACGTGAAACAGCAGAGTTAGCTCTGTGACAGAAGTACTTCTGCTAGCACAGGGGGAAAACAATTATGGTGAATAATTTTTGAATTTGAAGAGGCTTTGTTAGTAACTCGATAATGGACTGGATGAGGGTCAATAAACTGAGGCTCAATCCAGACAAGTCAGAAGTGCTGCTGGTAGGTGCCCCGCCAGATAGGTTAAAGGGCCATTTCCCTGCCTTAGACGAGATTACACTCCCCCTAAAGGACAGGGTCCACAGCTGGGGGGTGCTCCTTGACCCTGGTCTGACCTTGGAAGCCCAGGTGGACTCGGTGTCCAGGAGTGCCTTCTTACAGCTGCGGAGAATATATCAACTTCGCCCTTACCTGGATGAGCGGAGCCTGGCAACAGTCACTCATGCACTGGTAACAACCAGACTGGACTACTGCAATGCGCTATACGTGGGGCAGCCTTTAAAGATGGTCCGACGGCTGCAACTGGCACAGAACCGGGCTGCGCGGCTGGTACATTGCACTGCCGCATGGACTCATATCATGCCGGTTCTGAAAAATTTACACTGGCTGCCAGTTGCTGCTCAGGCCCAATTCAAAGTGCTTATTTTGACATATAAAGCCCTAAACGGCTTAGGACCTGGTTTCTTCCATATGAGGCCCTTCTGAAGGTGCCATCCCTGAAAGAGGTGAGGGGGATGGCATGTTGAAATAGGGCCTTCTCGGCTGTTGCCCCCCAACTTTGGAATGCCCTCCCTATAGAGATCCACCTGGCTCCAACACTCTTAGCTTTTCGGCGCCAGGCAAAGACCTTTCTGTTTAGCCAGCATTTTAATTAAACAGTACTCCCTAGCTGGCCACATGAGCAGCATGACTTATTAATATTAATGCTTTAAGAATTGTTTCAATATATGATATTTTATGTTGTCTTTTTGAATGTTTTTAAGTTTTAATGTTGTTGTACATCGCCCAGAAGCCACTGGTAATGGTGCGGCTAAAAAATATTGTAAATAAATTAAAATAAATAAATAAATAATTTCACCATATTTTTGCATACTCATCTGTAGGTGCAATATTGGTATTTTTGCCTGGCATGGAAGAAATTAAACTGCTGTATAACAAACTGCGAGCAAATTCACTTTTCAATAATCGGCACAAGAATTGGTAAGTCAAGAAAATGCCTCTGTCAGAACATTTAAAAAATCTTTTTTAAAAGTAAAACCCATTTTAGTTTGTTAAATGAAGTTGCGACACCTTATTCAAAAGTTAAATAGCAATCTCTCTTAGTAACACTCATCCTTCCTCTTCCTTCAAATATAGCTATCCATGGTTTAGCATGTAAAGGCTTTTCTATTCCAAGTGGAATGTGAAAGATAGTAGTTATGGATGACATAGCTGGTGTCACAAACTGCAGAAATATTGGATTGCAAATAGGTTCAAAACCACTGGAATCTAAATAGGTTTTTAAACCACCAATGTCCATGTATATAAGCCACTTTATCCCTTAATACAATGGTTTAAACATGTTGCATATTGTGTTAGTCTGCAAAAGAGAAAATACTGAAATCCATCAAGATGTAATGGCCAAACCATGCTCTCTCTTCCAATATAACAACATAGAATAGTTACCCATCATATCCACACTGGGGAATGATTTATCTGCAGATCAAGATTTCAGACCTGACTAATGTACTTAGACTCTTCTAGTCACAGTCTGTGCAGCTTAGACATGTAACTTGCTGCTAAATTGAAAGAGACGGGAGACCAGAGCATAGTGTTCAGGGCTTATTTGTATCATAGTACCAAATCACGATTTGACAGTATGTCTGGGTATGGATCAACTGATGTTTTGTGAATTATACAGTGTGTTTTGGATGTTGTTTTTCACAGTGTCTTCAAGAGACTTACAAAATTGCAGAAGCTTTAATGATGGGTTAGTCAACACCCTCATCCTTAGCAGCAGTTAATGATTTATATGTATCATATTAAGCCCAGAATAAGTGTCTTCAGCATATTTATAAAGTCATCGGTGATAAAAGTATGCATGCCACCATGGTGTACAAAATCCATGTATGAGTTTGGATGCTTTCTTCTTCATGGCTGATAACTTAATGCAGGGTGGCTCTCCTACTAGAGAACCGTTCACCATGTCAGCTCTCTGAAACAGTGAGAGTGTTCCTAGGGTGGCAGCAAGAGGCAGTAGGGCATTTGTTGCCTTCAGTTTTCTGCTGTCGGAACGGAGCACTGAGTGTAGCTAATGACAGGGCTGGCCTCGTTGTTACCTGATGCAAAGGCAAGTTGATGCCCCCTCCATTTCACTGGATTGTCAGTTACGTTTTACTATCATGCTTGCGATGAGAGAACATTCACCATCCCTACTGAGGGCAGCAGGACAATTTACTGGGTCGGGACAGGGAATAGGGCATGCACAGCTCTGTCCTCTAGCAGAGCAGAATAGCTTAGGGGGCTCGGGAAGAAGAATCAGGAACCTACTATTGCTTCTTCCATGCATCTACCACCCAGTTGTTGCCTCATTCTGATGATCGCCTTTGTCCTGATCCCAGTAAACAGACCTATGTTGTGAAAGTTGCCTGCCTTTCCCCTACGAGCATTCTGAATGGCGGGTGTGGATGCATACATACTGGTATTTTTATCTGCTAACTGATAGGTCTGTAGCTGCGTGTCTAAGCCCAGGGCATCTAACATGGCCATTTTAAGCATGAGGGACCAGAGATGGACTCCAAAATAGAAAAGGAATCCACCAAATCTGATTACTGTTTGAAACAAATGGCATGAAGTGGGAAAAAAGTCAAAAAATAAAGATGAAACCCGCTCTTTGATCTTTTCTCCTAGTTGTGTTGTTTACCCCCTCCATTCTTCCTTGGCAAGTGAAGAACAACAGTCTGTCTTCCTTAAGCCTCCAGTAGGAACCACTAAGATCATCCTCTCTACAAATATTGCAGAAACTTCCATCACCATCGATGATGTGGTCTATGTGATTGATTCAGGAAAGATGAAAGAAAAAAGGTACTTGGCTAATTTGCAGGGGAGAATAGTGACAAAAAGTCATGTACAGTATATAGTCATTCTTTAGAAAGATGGCCTTATGCCTACAGGGTCTGTTTATAAATTGTTGATTTTACAGAACCTCTGCATGTTAAGATCTTTGACTTGTGTGCCTCCTTAATACATGTAGGAAAAAACACTAGAAATGGAAGATGTAATCTTTATCTGAAGGATTCCCGAAGCAAGATTTCAAGGGCAAAATCAAGGTCCTAAATCTAGTTGATAAGCAAAACTAGAACAAACACAGTGAATCAATCGGAACATCAGTTACACAGGTTCGGTTGATTCAGTGGATATACTCTAGCTGGGACTAACATTTGCATTTTTGCTAAGGCGACCCCATAGTATCTTTCATTGCATTGTATGTACAGTGAAGAGTATTTGTTTGTTTGTTTGTTTGTTTGTTTGTTTATCATATACTCTGACTGCCAAACTTACTTACTTACTTACTTACTTATTAATCATATACTCTGACTGCCAGATTCCCATGAAGATGCACAATAAATACATAAAAAACATAAGCATTGTAAACAAGAAACCTAGAAGCAAAACACTGAAGAGAAGAAAGAATAAGAGCTTAAGATCTGTGTCTGATCTCATTCTGAATGGAGATTTCAAACTGAGTATCACTCAAACAGGCCCACAGTGTCCATACATTGGCCTTTATGTGAGTTCGGTGCATAAAATTCAGGAACAGAAATCTACATCCACAGTTTTGTAATAATTATAATCCTGGCCATAGAAAGACCAAATGTAAACCCTGTATCTGCTATGCACTGTCTAGATTTAAATAAGTCACTAAATGCCTCTCTCTCCCTGCTCCTGCCACCCTCATCTGCTTTCAGGTTTTCCTGGTGCTGGGATATTCTTTCCCTTGCTGTCTACCACAATTATTAATTCGGCGTGTAAAGTCTGATTATTACATTTGTCTTTCACACATATTTTTCTCATGGCAAATTTAAGAAGAAAACCTTGCATTGTTTCATAACAGTACTTTTTGTCAATGTTTCGTGTGTATACTATATGATTTGTCACTTTATGTATGTCTTATCATTCTTTTTCATCACTTGCAGATTGTACGCCTTTAGGCAGTGACTTGTGTCCCTTCCCCTTAATTGTTGTACATCAGGATAACAATTCCAAAACAATGTGTATGCTATGATCTAAAATGAATCTGCTTTAGATAAGCAGGCAGTAAAGACTATCCTGTTCTATAGGATTTTACATGCTCACATATCCTGTTATTCTTTTTAAAATAGGACTTGAAGATTCCACTGTATGGTTTTGCTCCTTAGGGCAATGTTTTATCATACAGTATATCACCCCAAGTGCCTGTTAAACAGACACTGTGATTTCTGAATCTAATGAATGCCTTAATAATCTAAACTATATCACATGAGTATATTAATAGCGTTGGAAGGTTAACTAATCACCTAGAACTACAAAGTGTTTTTCGTTTTTATATCTTCTCAACTCTCTGTCTTAATACCCACCTGCTCCTTCTTGTAGGTACGATCCAAGCAAAGGCATGGAAAGCCTCGAGGACATATTTGTGTCCAAAGCCAATGCCTTGCAAAGAAAGGGACGAGCTGGCCGCGTAGCCTCTGGGGTTTGTTTCCATCTCTTTAGTGGCCATTGTTACAATCACCACCTTTTAAAGCAGCAGGTGCCTGAAATACAGAGAGTACCTTTGGAGCAGCTTTGTCTCAGGTAAGTCATCCTCCCACCAGCTCCTCTCCCCAGTCTCAACAGAACCATGACATGTCCTGTAGGCATATCATGTAGCATAGATCTTCCCATTGCAGACGAGGGCATGCTTACCATGGCTTGTCCTCACACACTTAGGCACAGGTTTTAAACCCAACCTGTCGGCCTCAGGCCCTGAACAGTGGGAGAAGACAACACAGGAATGCCAGTATAATTCCTGCCTTTGCTCTTAATGGGTCATCAAACCTATTGCCTTCTTTGTTGCTTCGACTCTGTTTTGCCAATTTTTAAAAAAATCAGCACATAATCCTAGAACTCCTCACTGGCTAAGAAGAAACTGGTACCCCGAACTACTAGATATGGCTAAGCAAATATAACGTCAGGGAGAAATATGCATGCAACCCACTCCCAGTTTGGCTCCAGTTATGTTTATGGATTTGGAACAAAAGATACAGGAAATCTATCACAAAGATCTGTGAGATCTCTCCCTCTGAGGATTTCTTGGGACAAAGAAAGAAAGGAGACCCTTTATTTTGGGCAGATAAAGATGAGCAATAACTCTAATCAAACCACATACATTACAAAGCTATCTCTGAGGAAAAATACTAATGGTACAGAAGGAATCCCCAAAGCCTCCATTTGAAACATTATATGGCATCCCTTAAATATGTATCATGGAATATACTTTCTCTGACCACCATTACGTCAACGTGTAGGGTATCAGAGCTATCATCTACAGTATCAGGCCAGAATTTTATCCATAGTTTTGATCTTAGACTCTTTATTCATTATTTTCCCCTTGCACGGGGCAGACAAAATTATCTTGCCTTTTATTTTATTGGCCAGAATCTTCTTGTCTTTGGTACACTGGCTTTAACACAACCAGGATAACTCTTAGAGGTGAATCGTTTTAAGTTAAGAAATCACCTATATTATTTGTGGCATATCAAGTTGTGCGATTCAGCATGCAGCAGTCAACAGTAGTTTTTTAACTTGAGGCAGTTGCCTTCAAGGGTTAATACCTTAGTTGGACTGTGTTACTTGGCCTGCGGTGTAGATGTTTGTATTTTTAGTGGGGGATTTTTTAGTGGGTGGGGAGTGTTTGGGGAATTTTATGTCTGTGCATGTGTCAGGTCTCTGGGTGTCTGTGAATTTCCTTGTATGGGTATATACTTACCATGACAATAAATTATTATTATTGTTGTTGTTGTTATTGTTATTGTTATTATCATCATCATCACATTACAACCCACTCTGCTAGAAATATGACAGCTTCAGCTGTGTTGGGGGCTGTAGCCTCCCTTTCAGAAGGATGCACAGCAGCTTCCTTCTTTTATCAGGTGCTATCGGATGGATCATTTTATATAATCAAAAGCTGTTTGGAATGCAGGATGTTGCAGCAGGTGATACCGTAGTGCTTCAGAAAGGCACTAGCTCATTGACAGTGGTAGGGGTGGGGGAGCATAATCTGACCCAAGTGGAAGAAGATAGAGCTTTGGTATGTCCCATGGTAAAGATGTCCTCCACAGTGGGGAAAGTAGGGTTGGGACTTGCCATAATAATATTCATTCTCTGCATTGGAAGGGGGACATCCTTCCCCACCCAATATGGGTTGCGGGAGTGTTCCTGAGTGGGCAGTGAGGTGTTTGATCTCTGGGTGATTGGACAGGTCCAGAAGACTTTTGTTCATATTCAGTTGGTTGCCTTGTTGTTCAGAATGGTTCTTGTAAAAGTTACTTCCTTCTTCTATCCTTGCAAATCTAATTTTATTTCTTTTGGTATATGTTACTGTGGCTTGGAGATGAGATAGGCATTCTTGGACTAGCCTCTCTCTTTAAAGGCTTGCCAGGGCCCACAGGAGTGAATTAAACTTCCAACCTATCCAAATAGAGGGAAGGGCCAAAGATGTCTTCCTTCCACTGTGCAGAATGAACTTACTATGATAAGTGTCATCATAGCCTTCTATCCATTCTCAATCTAAAGTTTCTGGTGTCCTCCTTATTTGATTCTGTCCTTCCTATTTGATTCTAATCCATGCCAGAGCCTAGAAAAGTTAATTTATTAAAGTTAATTTATTTAACTCAAAGAATCCCCCAGCACAGCCACTAGCCATGCTTCCTGGTAGGATTCTGGGTATTGTAGTACAAAAATATTTTTTCCCCCAAGCCCTGCCTTATTTCTACTAATAAATTTTATGTATTCCTTGTTCTGCTTATTGATGAAAATGAGTTGATTGGTTAACTTCCCTGAATGGCCGGTTACAAGCAGTGTGTTGAGTAAATCTTCACGTAAAACACCACCACAGAGTTGAGAGAGTGACGCTCAACAATAAAGATAAAAATTCTTCCAAAAGTATATCTCCTTATGTCTTACTAAGTAGTGATTCCATGTGCTCTTCCATTTCTGTCAGTGGCCATCCAAAAAGGAGGATACGAACAGGAAATTTTCAGAGGATGGCTTCTCATTCAGCCAAAGCAGACTAAACTATCATTTGCCCTTCTTTCTTGTAGAATTAAAGTTTTGGAAATGTTCTCCACACAAAGCCTTCATTCGGTTTTGTCACAGTTGGTTGAGCCACCAACATCAGAATCTCTACGCGCATCAAAATCGCGGTTGCAGGACATTGGTGCCATAACTTCTGATGAAAAACTCACTCCATTGGGGTATCATTTGGCTTCTTTGCCTGTTGATGTAAGGATTGGGAAGCTGATGTTGTTTGGTGCCATCTTTCGCTGCCTGGATCCTGCCCTAACAATAGCAGCGAGCAGGTCCCACAAATCACCTTTCGTAAGTATCGTTGCTATAAGTCATGCAGACATTTGCACTCCTGGACTTTTTGATAAGGAGACGGACTCTGAAAACAGTGTTTGTGAACTCGAGAGCATTTCACATCCCAGTGTGTACATGCATGTCTGTTTTCCCCGTTTTACCACTGGTTAAACAGGTTTTGAAAGGATTTTTGCTCCTATTTTAAAATAATCTAGAAACTTGCAAAACCTGTTTACTGGGAGGTAAATGTGAGAGGGATATGTACAGTAGGAACAGCTATTTCCATTTCATACTCTTCTCACTCGGAAAACACTTTGTTTTTTAGTTGTTGTGTCTGATTCTTCGTGACCCCATGGACCAGAGCATGCCAGGCCCTCCTGTTTTCCACTGCCTCCCAGAGTTGGGTCAAACTCATGTTGGTAGCTTCGATGACACTGTCCAACCATCACGTTCTCTGTTGTCCCCTTCTCCTCTTACCTTCACTCTTTCCCAACACCATAGTCTTTTCCAGGGAGTCTTATCTTCTCATGAGATGGCCAAAGTATTGGAGCCTCAGCTTCAGGATCTGTCCTTCCAGTGAGCAATCAGGGTTGATTTCACTACCTGCCCTATAGAGCAGTAGTCCCCAACACTTGTTACAGGTATTCACAACATGTCAGTTGTCCCATGAATTTGATGAGAGTTCTCGGTGCAAAAGAAATACTAAGTTCTTAAAGCAAAATGTTTTGATGTTTGGTAGGAGTGTATTTAAAATTTAATGGTAGGATAACAAGTAAAGTAAAAGGAGTGTTATTTCCTACATAGCTAATGGCATACCTTGGAATATTCCATCTTCTTTGTCCCATAATTGTTGCATTGGTTGTAGTCCCTTTTCAGTTCATATCAGAGTGACTGAAGGAGGCATTTTGGCAAAGACAGAAAGAAAGAATTGTATTGTAGCACTTGAAAAACTCAGGGTTTTTTTCCCAATATGAGCTTTCATGGATGAAAATCCACTTCTTGAGACCCATGGAGTACAAATATATTGTGTGTCCTCTGTATTTATTGATGTCCCCATGACTATGTGAGGAAATAGATAATAGACAAAATGGCAATGGTTCATTAATACAGGAATGGGGCTGTCTATTAGCAGACCTTATCCAGGATGATAATCTCTATGCCAGCTAGACTTGCCTTTCACAGTGATGAGTTATTTCTGGGACAGAAGTCAGAGTCTGTCAAAAGAGACAACCATTTTATACTATGAGATACAGTGGTGCCTCGCTTAACGGGTGCCCCGTTTAATGATGAATCCGCATAGCGATGAAGATTTTGCGATTGCTTTTGCAATCGCATTGTGATGTTCCATATGGGGAAAATCGCTTTGCGATGATCACTTCCCCCAATCATTGCAAATGCCCCATTTTTGCATAGTTGATCGGCAGGGCTGCACGATTTTAGCAAAGGCCCGCTGATCAGCTATGTGAAAATGGGCCGTTTGCGATGATCGGGGGGAAGCGCTCGTCGCAAATGCCCCATTTTCACACAGCTGATTGGCGGGTCTTTGTGAAGATCGCACGGCCCCACCGATCAGCTGTGAAAATGGGGCGTTTGCGACAATTGCTTCTCCCGATCATCGCAAATGCCCCGTTTTCGCACAGCTGATCGGCGGTTCCAAAATGGCCGCCCACAGTGTTTTCGCGCCCTTTCCTCGCTTACTGGGCAGCGAAAATGGCGGCCACATGGAGGATTTTCGCATAACAGTGAGTTTTTTGCCCATAGGAACGCATTAAACGTGTTTTAATGCGTTCCCATGGGCTTTTTTGCCCCACATAGCGATGAATCCGTATAGCGACGATGTTTTCGGAATGGATTATCGTCGCTATGTGGGGCACCACTGTACTCCAGAAGGCTTGCTTATTAATATATGCAGTATGCTAAAAAAAGGCCTGGTCTCTATTTAGGCCCTTGGAAATACACTGGGACTTGTTGGCTTAGCTGATTTCTGCTGTCTCCCTCAAGTCTCCTTTCCACCTGTTTTCTGCAATAGCCACTTTGAGAGCCACAATAGAGCGTCCTGGGAGGCTGAAGTGATCTGAAACTGGTATCAGTGATCCCGTTCCTAATGTCAGATTAGTGCACATTCATTATTTTGTGCAGAGATGGTCCTGTTTGTCCTACATAGAATGTAGAAGGGCATTGCTGGCAGAAGGATGAAATTTAGAGGAAGAAAGCTTTCTTTATTAAGATTTAATGTTCCCTTAATGTCATTCGAGTGCTACTCCTTCTAATGTTTTAAAGTCAGTAGTGGAGAACTTTGAGGATTTGGGATCTATTTGTGCCCTCTTTTGAAACTTCTCTCTTCGACTGATATACTAACATATCTCAGCAGTTGGTTGTGGGATAAAATGGGATTGCTCCCTGTCCATCATCCTGCATTTAGTGATCAAAGCACTGTATACAAATATGATGAATCTGTGTGTAGACTTGTTGCTACTTTGAAATAACCACTGTAGTTCTGAGAGAGAGAGAGAGAGAGACCCCAGTATCCTACTGGTTAAGAGTACAGTACTAGTAACCTGAGCTATGGACTTGCAAAACAGAAAAGCTTTGATCGTGGGATACAGCATGGGTGTGTGTCACTTTGATGCATTTTGTAGGATGTGACTTACAAGAATCCTGAAGTTCCATGGCAACATTCACAGTGTGTGTTAGAAGTCAGTCATTCACATTTTAACTTTAAATACACTATATAAAGGTGTAATGTTTGATTTTAAAGGTTTCCCCATGGGATAAGAGAGAGGAAGCATTCAGTAAAAAGCTGGAATTTGCAAGAGAGAACAGTGACCATCTAACTCTACTCCAAGCATATAAGGTGAGAAATTCAGCTCTGCTCTGTAGTTCTTCTCCAAAGCTGTTTTTGTCGTAGGCTTTCTCAGCTATGAGAAATATAATAGCAGGGTAATATTTTATATTTCCACTTCTTAGGGGTGGCGACTGTCTTCAAAACAGAGCTTTGAGGCAAGTCACAAGTTTTGCAGAGAGAACTTTTTATCAGAAAATACTCTTCAGGTATGCTTATATGCTTATTCAGAGTCTTTGTCTTAAAACTGTAATGACCTTCTTATCAAACAGCATTTTTCCACTTTTGTCTTCCTGTTTGCAGCCTCCTTTTCTTCCTGGCAGAATGAGAAGGGGTTACAGGTTTAAACTTTCATTAAATAGAAAAGTATGTACAGGCAAAACATATTCTGGTTTCATCTGCTTTATGTTTAGAGTTTTACCACCCTTCAGTCAATTATAGATCTCACCATAGGGATTTTTTTGGATCTGCAGGCAATGAACAAAGGTATGAAAGGTCTCTCCAGTGAGGCAGGAAATGAATAATACAGAATTAAGAATGCTCATCATGCCACAGTTTCACTAAGCTGCCACCAACCATTCCCTGTAAGGAGTCACACAGACCAGGAATGGATTTCTAACAAATAAAGGAATAAGGTTTATTTAAATGACACACAGGGAAAATAAAATGATCAAGTGAATAAGATACAGTAACGTGGCTTAGTCTCAATCATACATACACCAGTTTGGTTCACACAGAACACCTTTAAATAAAGCACAGACCCTGAACCTATCAGTTCTGGCTAACCATACAGACACCTGAACCTATCAGGTTGGTACTGACTGACACACAGTAGTACCCTGTCTGACACACAGACTCCCACACCAGCTTCTTCTCTCAGCTCTTCTCCAGCTCTCCACACAGGCTTCACATATATATACAGTACAGCCCCTCCTCCTGATGTCCCACCTTCCACTCCCCATAGGATGGAACTTTCCCTCCAACCCATGACAGACAGGTAACATCAGTGCTGTATGTAACACTCACCATAGGGATTTTTTTTTTTTTTGGATCTGCAGGCAATGAACACATGTATGAAAGGAATACAAATGTATTAGATCTCTCCAGTGAGGCAGGAAATGAATAATACAGAATTAAGAATGCTCATCTCCCTGTACTGCTGTTGGGAACCCCAAGAGAACCCTTGGATCTGGCCAATTCCAGAGTGCTACTCCATGGTTCAAACTAGACTGAGGTTCTTTCGGGGGGAAATCTTTTAGGACTTATATAGGATATATGGGTTGTTGTCTTTCTTTCTGACCTTTGACAAAAATTATGCATTCGAGGCCAACTGACAAACAGTAGATTGATGCTTTCCTTCCTCTACTAGTTGCATGGTATAGGTATCAAAGTAAAGGAGTGAGACAATAATAAACATCTCATACAACTGTAGAAATTACCGTATTTTTTGCTCCATAAGACGCACTTTTCCCCAAAAAAAGTGGGGGGGGAAGTCTGTGCATCTTATGGAGGGAAGGTGGCGATTTCGCCCCCACTGGTCCCGTGGGGGGGAGCCTCCCAAGGGTCTGAGTGAGCCTTCCAGGACCCTTGCGGGGCTCACCCACCCCCCACGGGGCCAGCGGGGGCGAAATCGCCGGCTTCCAGGGACCTTCTGAGGTTTTCCAAGCCTCAGAAGGGTCCTGGAAGGTCACAATTTCACCCCTGCTGGCCACGCGGGGGTGGGTGGGTGAGTGTAGCCTCTGAAGGGTCCTGGGGAGTGCTGTATTACTCCATAAGATGCAAACATTTTCCCCCACTTTTTTTGTGGGGGAAGTGCATCTTATAGAGCAAAAAATATGGTACATGGCTGAAATACCATTTTTTATTCTGCAACTTAGCTAATTAACTATTTTGGCCATTCCTTTTTTTTCGCCACCTTCTGGGACTCTTGAGGCTTGGGAAGCTTCAGAAGAGTCCCTGAAGGTGGGCCATTTTGCCCCATCTGGCCCCATGGGGGACAAGGTGAGCCTCCAAAGGGTCCTGGAACACACCCTAGGACCTCTTGGAGGCTACCCCGACCCCCCACAGGGCCAGAGGGGGCTAGGGTGTGTTCCATAAGACGGACCTCTCCATAAGGCTCACCAAATTTTTAGGAGAAGAAAACAGATTAATTTTTCCCTGTTTTCTTCTCCTAAAAATTTGGTGTGTCTTATGGAGAGGTTCGTTTTATGGAGCATTCAATTAAAAGCCTTCTGGAACAGGAATGGAGAGGTCCGTTTTATGGAGCGAAAAATACGGTCTCATCACAGAAGTAGCAGAGAAATGATACATTAACAAAGAGAAACATCCAGGTATGACCTGCAAAGCCAGCTGTGCACAAGATGGAGAAAACGGTGGCACAGCAAATCTAATTCCTGCAGTTAACAGTGGTTTTCTGCCTGTGCCACTACATTGAGTTGCTACTGGATGAATTGCAACGTCTGGTCTTGAGAGGCAAGATCTTTCTGCGTTCAGTCTTTGGCGTGTAGACAAATAAAACATATCAAAACAGGATTCTGGAAAAGACTTGTGTGAAAACGCAGCATCCATCAACCATGCAAGATTGGTTGCTGGCAGTTCAAGTCACCCATTGTTCAAATATGTCTCTTCTCTGTCCTCAACTTTGTAGGAAATGGCCAGGTTAAAAATGCAGTTTATGGAATTGTTATCTGATATTGGATTTGTAAAAGAGGGACTCCGAGCCAAGGATATTGAGAGAAGATACTCTCAACGGGGGGACAACATTCTTGAAGTTACAGGAGAAGAGGTAATTGGATTGATGGTGAAGGGGTTATTCTTTTGTTTCGTTTTTGGTAAAGATTTCGTTTGATGTTATTCTTTTTCTGTGCCATTTTATCCATCTGTCTATCACCTATCTTTCTCCCTGTAGAGGGACTCAAAACAGCTTACAAATAATTTTAAAATGGTTATAAAACAATTCAGCATACCTATCTTTCTCCCTGTAGAGGGACTCAAGATAGCTTACAAATAATTCTAAAAAACACAAATATTTTGAACATTATAAATATAAGAAATGGTTATAAAACAATTCAGCACTGATTATTAAAAGGCACTTGTTTTAATATTTTATTCTTATTAAAAAGAAGTCTTATTGCGTTAAAAAAAAATCTTAAAACCCATGGAGGCCAAGCGGAAGAGATATTGTTCCTAAAATATCTTGGATGGAAATAATTTAGGGCTTTATATGTTAAAAACCATCACTTAGAATCCATCACTTGTGCCCAGAAATTGATGGGTGGGCAATTAAGTTGTTGTAACACACAATTTCTGTTCTCCCCGTAACTGGTACCAATCAGGAGTCTAGCTGCAGCATCTTGGATCTTCTGAAGCTCCTGAATAGTTTCAAAGGTAGCCCCACATTCAGTGTATTACAATACGGTAATTCAGATGGCATCTAACTAGGACATGTGTCACTGTGGCCAGATCAGACTTCTCAAGAAATGCGTGTAATTTTAAATTTTTTAAATTTGAAGATACAAATGGCCACGGCTGACACCTGGGAATTTAGGAGTGCCTTGCAAATCTGAATTTTCAAAGAAATGTAATCCTTCCAGCACAGGTTGAATCCCTGTTCTCTGACCTATATTTCACCCAGCCAGGAGCACCTCTGTCCTGACTTGATTAAGCTTGAGTTTCTTTTCTCTCACCCAGTCCATAATTGACCCTGGATATGGATTTAGGACTGAAACAGCTTCTTTGGAATTAGGTGGCACAAAGAAATAAGAATTGAGTGTTGTCCATGTATTGGTGCTGCTGAACTCCAAAACCCCAGATAATTTTCCTAGCAGTTTCATGTGTATGTTAAATAGCATGGGAGACAGAACTGAATCCTAAGGGATTCTCACAGGCCAATGAGCAGGGTATCAAACAGTAGTTCCCCAGCACCACCCTCTGAGCCCACCTTCCAGGAAGGACCAAAGCCACTGTGACACAGTGTCTCCAAGTTCCATCTTAAAGAAACGTATACTCTCCCTGTCTAGTTCCCAGCATCAATAATCCAGCAAGGCCACTAAAGCATTCTGTAGGCCTGAATCCGGACAGAAATGGATCCGGATAATTTGCATCACCCAGAAACCCCTGGAACTGTGAAGCTGCCAACATGCTCTAGAATCTTGCCCAGGAATGGAATATTTGAGACTGGCCAATAACTATCTAGTATACTGGGTTTTAAGGAAGATTTTTCACTGAAGTTGCTATACCTCCTCCTTTAATACAGATAGAACACTTCCTTGTTCAAAAGTATTCACTTCTCCCCTTATCCAGTCAGCCTTCTGCCACAAACCACCACCATCCCAGCTGATTTTATGAGCCAGAACAGCCAAGTATCCAGTATCCATGAGGTGGCTCTCCCCTCTCTTAAGGATCCTGTCCACATCCTTGGGTTACACAAGCTGGAACATATCCATTATCATAATACAAGCAGAGGCCAAAAGTTCTGAGATGAAATAATTGAAAGAGACCTTTGCTTGGAAGCCATCAGTGTAGAGGGTTTTTGAGCTAGATGGGCCAGTGGTAAAGAATTTGGAAAGGCTGATATTTTGGACTACAACGCCCTATTTCCCTCAGCCAGCATAGCCACTGGCTGGGTGATTTCTAATCCAGAAAATGTAATGTTTGTAAGCTCTAGGTATCACTCAGGATAAGAATGTTTTATATATTTCTTCCTGACAAGGGACAGATTTTCTTATAGGGCCAGGAGCTTTGAAACACTCTATTCTGGAGCTCCTTATAAGATCCCCTTTTTTATTTCCAAACCCATCTATGGAGTCTCAAGGGCTAGCAATTTCCTTTTTAAAAAAGAGGTACATGAAAAGTGGGATTCTCTGGAGCCTGTGCCAGTCGTCCTATGCTGCCTAGGTCCATGCTAATGGCTGCTCAAGTTGCAGTTAATGTACCATAACTTGTCGCATTTGTTTACATCACAGGCAAATACTAATGCAGAAAATCTCAAGTTGATATCTGCCATATTATGTGCTGCTCTGTATCCCAATGTAGACCAGGTAAGAAAGTAATTCTCTCTTTATGTTTATACACATACAGATTGTATCTGTTTCCCTACATCAGGTTGTTACTTTTATGCTGGACATTTGAAATATGGGGCTCCTGGTGTTTGCATGTTCTCTTCTAAAGGGGAGCAAGATAGCTGTGGAAATAGGTGCTGATTCCACACAGTAGCAGTGGCCAAATGGTGGCTCAAGAGGAACATGAAACTAACAAACTGTACAAAAACAAAACAAAAAAACAAAAAACAAAGGGAATCAGCACTGGCTCTTCCTAAGCATCGGCCAAATGGTGGCTCAAGAGGAACATGAAGCTAACAAACTGTACAAAAACAAAAAAACAAAAAACAAAGGGAAGCAGCACTGGCTCTTCCTAAGCATTAGAAGGAACATTTTGATAGTAAGAGATGATTGACAATGAAGTTGATTGCTTCAGAAGGTGGTGGGCTCTCCTCCACCAGCTGGATTTTCAAACAGAGGGTGACTAGCCATCTGGTTAGGAGTGCTTTAGCGGTGCATTTCCTGCTTTTGCCTAAGGATGGACTTGATGAACCTTCCGTGATTCTATGCAAACCTATGCAGGGAGGTAAAACTGTAAGACATTGCTTATAGTAAAGCACTTCCAGGTGCTTTACTATAAGGAAGCCAGGAGGATATAAAGGATAGAGCTACCTGTAGCCTCAGCTCTGGACTTGGGGGGGGGGAAAGAGAGAGAGACTCTGATTTCAGGATTTTTCTCTCTCCTGAGTCTTTACTTTCCACTCCTTTCTTCTGGAAGGGAAATTGTTGCAGCTAGAGAGAAGAGTCCTGAGAAATGCATTCTGGATTTATATTTAAAGCCCCCCCCCCCCCCGATGAAATTTTTTGCTGCCACATTGGGGAGCTAACTCTAGAATGCCCTTCCAGAGAAGGGTTTTCTGAAAGTAGCACTGATAAGTATTAATCCATTTGTTCTTTTATGCCTTTAAAATGTCTTTGGATTACCGTATTTGCCGGTGTATAAGGCGACTGGGCGTATAAGACGACCCCCCCAACATTCCCAATCAGAATGTAGTTTGTTATATACTTGCTGTATAAGACTACCCCCTCTTCCGCATGTGTGATTCTGCTTTGGCTGCATCATGGGGAGAGTTCGTTTTGCCGCTTTTGGTTCCTTTAGCTGGGAGAGGGAGAGGGTTTGCTGGAAGGAGGACAGCATGGTCGGGAGCCAGCAGAGAGGCGGCAGCCATTTTGGAGAGGCAGCAGCTATTTTGAGAGGCGGCAGTCATGTGGTCACATCTCAAAATGGCTGCCGCCTCTCTGCTGATTCCCGACAGTCAGCTGTTTGGCGCTAGAGTCAGGCTGTTCCCAGGCTACCAAGGAGGAGTGGGCTCCGTCTACTGGGTCTTACTACCAGGTAAGTGACTTTGCTGGGAGAGAGGGAGGGTTTGCTGGACGTGCACCCGGTGTACAAGACGATCCCCCACTTGGAGGCATGTTTTTCAGGGCCAAAAAGTCATCTTGTACGCCGGCAAATACGGTATATTCATTTTATCATGAACAAGAATATAGCACCTTAATTACTGGATTTTATCTAGCACAGGCTTTATGGACAGCAGCCCACTTAATCAGAACCATGGAGTATTGCCTCATGCAACTGAAGAATGGGGCTGCAGTCCATGAAGGTTTAGGCCAAATAAAAGTTGTTAGTCTTTGAGATGCTATATGACCGCGTGCTGTGTTTCAACAGATAACCACCATGTCTGAAATTCATTTTATTTTGTGTTCACTCTTTTACTAATGTTTTATATGTTCTTTATTTGCTACAGTTTTAATATTTTTAACTGCCTTGGAAAATTTCCCCATCAAGGGTGGTATATGTTTTAAAACAATAAATTAATTGATGGATAAATGCCAAATGTGGCTTTTTTCTCCAGGATAGATGATAGCTGCTGGTCCTCTTAGATTAGCTTGTGTGAGGTGAGACTCTGCCTCCTTAGAAGTGCTTGCGGGTTTTCTCTGCTTGAATTGTAGTACTTTGGTGCCACTGTGCTAGTCTCTTAAGCCATATTTTGCACACACTGAAACCAGGGCTTGAAACAAGATTGTAAATATTTTACCATACAGCAGATTGAGGTGAGGGTGACGGCTAGTATGTCAGTGATTTTGCCTTGCAATGGGTATTCAACCACCCAGAGTAGATTCATCTAGGATGGGCGGTATAAAAGCCAAATAAATAAATATTTGTAACTAGCTCTGGAATTCTGGGCCTGATGCAGATTGTAGCAACAAGCAGAGATATTGTATACTATTGAGGGAGAGAGAATATTTGGATTGGTATCTTGTTTCCATCACACAAGTTGAGAATCACCCTTTTGTAGTAAATGTGGCTTGTACTTGCATTAGGAAAGCCCGGCTGCATGCACAATACATGCTTGTGTATGCGAGTTAATATGCAGTGTAATATCTCAAACTCTACAGGAATCTGCTAAAGCAGACATTCTCAACCTGTTTTGGCCACAGTCATAAACACAATATGAAAGAAATATTGTCCAAATCAGGATTGTATAAGTGGCATAATGAGGTGGTCTGTGAAGAATTGTTTCCAGTCTATGACCCCTTTCAAATGTGCCAGGGGCCCCCGGGGGGCCATACAGTATGCCTCCCCTTGCGAATGGCTGTCCTAAAGTAGGCCATGCTATAAATGAGGATATGTGTTGGTCAAAAAGCCACTATCTGCTCAACTCTGTTTCAGTGAGTGGGCGTTGTGTATGGGTACTACTCCTTTTAACTGTTCACTATTTTAGGTGAGAAAACCAGAAGGGACATGTCAGAAGTCCAGTAAAGGTGCTGCTAAAATAAACCCAAGAGAACTGAAGTTTGTGACCAAAAAGGAGGGCTACGTTTACATCCATCCGTCTTCTGTAAACTACCAGGTGACTTTCTCACTCTTAGTGTGATGTAATCCTGAAGTTGTTAACTCATACACATGTTGCATCCACAAGCTTTTTTCTGGAAGGGAAGCATGCAACCCCCATTGACAGTCCTTTGGGTGGTTTGATGTGGTAATGTACCCATTAGTCTCGTTGTCATGTCTTTGACGTCATTACAGATGAACATTACGCAAACAGAGGGGTATAGAAATGGCAACACTAATGGAGCAATATAGAAATGCAAACAGACGTAACAGTTTGTCCACACCAGTCTCCTTCAGCTGACCACACTCAAACTTGCCTAGAGACTTTGAACATCACTCATCTCTGCTTGGCCTTCTTATCCTGGCACAGGACTAACTTTCACCTAGAAAGATCTGGGGACTGGCTTGTCTTTAGTGGAATTAAAGTGGCATCTGTAGAACCTAACCAGGATTTTTTTTTGCTTGTTTTAAATGTCTCATTTAAATTGTATGGGATTCAATTTTTCAGACGAGCCACTTCAGTAGTCCATACCTGGTATACCACGAGATGGTAAAAACTAGCCGGGTGTTCATTCGTGATTGCAGCATGGTGTCAGTGTACCCACTGGTCTTATTTGGTGGAGGGCACGTGAATGTGCAGCTCCAGAAAGGCAACTTTATTGTTTCCCTGGATGATGGATGGATTCATTTTGTTGCAGCCACACAACAGGTAAGCAAATGAGCTGCTCACCATATTATGCATGATGCCCAGGATGGAATTATTGTAGGAACAGGGGCAGGAATGGATACTAGTTAATCCAGCCTTAAACAGCTATGGATCACATATGCAATATGTGATCACTGAGATCAGTGGGACTTGCAGTAAGAGAATAAATGTGTACAGGATTGCAGCTTTTAAGCTTGCTAGAATCAAAGTAATTTATCCATTGCAATTCAGTTAACTAAATTAAGGGTTTATTTAGTTAACTGAATTGGAATGGATAAATTACTTTGATTAAGAGTAATTGCTTGTACACAATTGCTTGGTTATGCATATAAACCTTGGGGATAGAGAAATATTAACTAAGTGAAGCCAAAAAGTACAACAGTGCAAGTCACTGACAACACTATTGGAAACACAAAGGAACATGGAATCTATAGTAAAAACCCAAGGAGCCTGGAAAATGCAAAACCATGGCACTTCTCTGGACTCTTGAGTTTGGAACCACTATGGATGATGAGTTGAACTTGCTGAGCTGGACTGATTCAGAGTCAGAGTTTCTGTATTCAAAGCCAGAACCTGCTCTGCCCATTGATCTCCGAAGATATTTCAGATTGGAGACTAGGAGCTGGAGGCACTTTGAAGCTTGAGTTTTCTCATAGGATTCCATGGTTCTAGGTAGAATCTGTGAGCTTCCCAAACCCTCGCTTCCAGGTGCACACACTTTGTAAGTCTGGGATTGCCCATGTTCCCTGCATCTGTTAATAGGAATATTTATATTTTGCAGGTGGCAGAACTCATGAAAGAACTTCGCTGTGAGCTTGACCAGCTACTCCAGGATAAAATCAAGAACCCCAGCATAGATTTGTGTACTTGCCCTCGAGGATCTCGTATCATTAGCATGATTGTCAAACTTGTGACCACACAATAGGATCAGTCACTAATTTGTTGTAAAGCCTGATCAAAACAAAAATGACAGAAACAACAGTGACTACCTGTGACTGATCAATTGTAGTCCTCTGACTAAAAGCCTCAAGGCAACTAAAGGAATAGTGAAAGCCACTTTATTTGAAATAGTCCTAGGACTGTGAATAGGAGGGTGGGAAGAAATATGTGCTTAGAATCATGGTAGAAAATGATACCTCAGAGAAGTCTGTATATTTTAATACAAGCTGAAGTGTTCCTTCCAGAAGCATGTTTCTGTGTAGTAGGGAGTGAAAGATGGTGGGGAGCTCCATAAGAGATACAAGAAATTTGTTTTAATTATTCCTACAAAATCATCTCCTTCCTATTTTTCCCAGCATTAACTTTTTGCTCCAGAAACGTGTAGTCTGTCAGCTGAGCCTTGCCCTTCTCGAGACAGAAAAGTGTTTGCCACAGAAAATGGTTGTTTCATAAACTGTGATGTGGATTTGCTCAAGTTTCAATGAACTTCACCTGATCTTAATCTGCTTAATGTATTCTGCCCAAATTAAAATAATTAGTTAACTCTTTAGCGATTTTAGCACAAAAGTGCCTTATCTTGTCTATGAACTGGGCATGGCTCTAATTTCAGCTGACATCCACTAGGAGTCGTTATACTTTCAAGTAGAATTAAATTCAGAAAAAGTCCTTTTTAAAATTTCGAACTGTCTGAAATACACTTATCTTCCTTGAAGATATAGTGATGTGCTTTTCTAAATGTGACACATGCCAAGATCCTGTACAAGCCAAGATCTGTCAAAGTGAAGCTGAATGTAATACTGTCACATCTGTTGGAATGCTGCCAGCTTGATTCTATGTACAAAATCTTATGAATAGAAAAATGATTGAAAAATAACTAAAAGGATTACTTTAACAGTCTGCTAAGCCTCATGGACTTAACCTAGTGTGGCTTAAAAGAGTTCTTTCTTTTATAGAGAAGGGGCACAAAACACTTGCACAGGACGAGTTTGCCAATTTCAAAACAGATGTTCCCTGTGAAGACTATGGCTCACTATGATGGAGAGGGAATGAAATGTGTAATTGTAGTACAAACGTGCAATATAATCCTATACAAGACAGGTCTCCTAATCATATTTTGTTTTATATTACTCTTAAGTTGCCTGTATCACCTTAAGTCCTTGTTGGACAGCTGGAAACATGGTGACCGATATGTTTTAATAAAGAAAATGTGATCTGTCAATTAGATTGTTTCAATCTGATTTTGTCTGAGTGTTTTTCAAGAAAATAGGAAAACGTGCTACTTCAATATTAGTCTATGCCCCTGTAGGGCAAAGTCACATCTTATTCCTGATTACGTGGGTCGCCAAACGTATCCATAACAGTGGTAATTGATTAACAAAATCTGCAAAATTCTTGGTTTGGATTAATGTTTATTCTTATGGACTAATTAAAAGTCCATAGTTATTCTTTGTAGTATTGTTCCTATTAGCCAATAAGAACAATATGCATTCACACCAAGAATCTTGTAGATTTTGCAAAGTGATACCCACTGCTAGGGGCAGAGTGAATATTTGTTCTTACTGACTGATTGAAAGTCCAAAGTCAAGAACCTATTGTTAAACTGGATAAAAGCTTGTATACTGACAAGCAACTGTCCATTTCCTGCTTAAACCACATCTGCTACTGAAGTGTTACAACAAAGGGAAAAAAAAGAGTGAGATCCCTTATGGAGGGGATCCATGATTGGAATCAACCGTTGAAAAGGAGCAAACTGTAGGTAGAGGGCATGAGTGTGGCGAAGTAGGTATAATGGTGACTTCAGCGGTATCAACGGGCAAGAATGGATAGTGAGCCAGTATTGGAGATTTGGGTTGACCAGAAGGAGGCAGAAGGGTGTCTTCTGAGGAGTCTATACGTACGGTAGATTGGTCCTGGAGTGGTGGTTGGTCTGGAGTCAGTGGCAGATTTATTTCGCTCTTTTTATTTCAAATGATCCCATATCAAAGGAGACTTCAGTATGGAGGTAGATTTAGTGGAGTTGGAAGGCTTAGATTTAGATTTTTGAGAAGTTTTGGACATCAATCTGGATGATGGAGAAACGGTAGGTGGAACCAGAGATTGCCTCGGAGGTTGTGGAGTAGGGGAGGGCTCCATAGTTTGAAAGGGTTGGAGAGATTTTTCCCAGAGGAACTACTGAAGGCATTGCCTCAATTTGAGGGCTTGTTTGGTGACATTTTTACAAAACTGGCAGGTGGAAGTTTGGTGAGATTCTCCCAGACAAAAAAAGGCAGATGTTATGGCCGTCTGAAAGGGGAATATTAGAGCACAAATTTCATTTCTTGAAAGGGGGACGGGGTGCCATAAATGGGGGGAAAGGAAAAAGGGGGGCAACCTGGGAAATGTATAAATCTCTTACAATTCCCTTGATTGAATATCGCAATTGTAGAATAGAATTAATAATTGTATTTCTTTCAGATATCGAAAAGGACGAATGGCAGCTCAACTAGAGGAGAGAGCTCAGCGGCGGCAAAAAGGAACTGAGGCAATTACTAGGACGGGCGGATCTTATGTCCGGGGGGGGGCAGTCCTTGACAAACATAGCATAAAGCTCTAGAATATTCCAGAGAACTCTGCGCAAGCGCAGATTAAACCCATTTGAGTGCATTCACAGAGATCACGAAGAACCACACCTGTTACTGAAGTGTTACAACAAAGGAAAAAAGAGTGATCCCCTATGGAGGGGATCCAAGATAAGAGCCACCTAATCGTATTCTTGTTTCTCAAACCTATTGCATTAAATAAGGGTCTCACTTCTTGCTTTCTCACAAATGGTTTTAAATTTAGGTAGGTTTACTGTTCAATCTATTCAATTTTATTACAATACAGGTCACCACTATATCCCAGCAACTGAACAGGTTTTTAAGTCCAAAATTACCTCACAAAATCTGTATGGTATTCCAATCTGGTTAAACGCCATGGACCCATCAATTGAATAATTACAATCTTATTTTTTACATAAAGTGTTAGGGTTACCCAGATGTGTTCCCTACTCAGTGCTTTGTCTTGAGACCAGGTTATCCTTATTGGAGATGACTAAGATCATTTCAATTCTGGCTGAGAATTTTTTGCAAACCAGACCAGGTCAGCTTGTGCTGCCAATTTTTGTTAGATTCTGATCCTCCTTTTGAGTCAACTGCCCTTCTCAAAAAACTAAAATTGATTGGCTTAGATATCAATTCTTTAGATTCATTAAGTCAAAAGCTAGCTTTTCAAACAATTAAAATAATTTTGGATATTGAATTTGAGGAATTACGGCATGCAGTTAATAAGATGCTCTCCATTGTTTTTTCACATTCTCCTCAAAATTGGAGAACCGCCTGCTTTTCTTTCCTTGCTTAAATGCCCACAAAATCAAAGGGCTTTTTCTTTTTCCAGATGCAATGTCATGCCTTCAGCCTTATTGTATGGCAGGTTTAACAGAATCCCATGTCTTGAAAGATGGTGCTCATGTGAGCAGAGTGCTTTGGAACACACTCACATGCTTTTGCATTGTCCACTCCACTAGGACTACCGTACAAAGTATGTTGCTTCAATTTTATTAAAGCTGGAGGGGAAATCTGATCTGGACAAAGTTCATTTTATATTATTAGTGGAGGTGGTCAATATCAAGGAAGGAGTTGCAGATTTTTTGGGGTAAAGTATGTTGCTTCAATTTTATTAAAGCTGGAGGGGAAATCTGATCTGGACAAAGTTCATTTTATATTATTAGTGGAGGTGGTCGATATCAAGGAAGGAGTTGCAGATTTCTTGGGGGGTCAATTGTTAAGAGGTGATGTTCTGCTCCTCATTGAATGCTTTGCCTTTTTGAATTCTGTAAATATGGGCTTTTAACAAAGTAGTCTGATTATATCTTACTGCTTTGTATGCCAACAGAGGTTTTATTATTATTTTAAAAATATCTTTTAATTTATTTGTAAAACTGTTCCTTATTAAACCTTGGGAATTTTGTTTTAACTACCAATGTCAGAATTCTCCAACTGGGCTGGCTGGCAAGAATGAGAACTTTAAATAGTATTTAAATAGTAATTTTCTGCTCCTTACCAAATACAGTGAAATTCCTGTCAGAAGACCTTTCAAAAGCTCATGTAACTGGCTCAGCACTGTGATGTAGGGATACATCAGCCTTATAGTTATACCAATGCAATTGTATCAGATGACTGCCCCATGGATGTGTAACAAGAAGGAATTCCCATAAAGTCTGTCAAGATTTCACTGATGCCCTGGAACAGCTGAAAGAAAGGTTGTACTGGAAGCTTATTTGGCTATGTTCCAGCTTCACAGTAGTAATTAATATATTAAAGCCGATTGTTGCCACAGATAGTCTATTCTTAAAATGCTCCCCTTTTGAGTGAATACAGAAAGCAAGAATGGGACAGTAGCAATTTTTGTAATTTCATAATATTCCATTAGATATTTGAATATTGTGTACTGTTTTAATAGAAATCTTTTGAAAGACTATAGATAATGGGAGTATCTCTGCCATTTCAAGTATTTTCATGTAAAAATCTTCAAAATAGAAACAAACTTCTGAGAATCCAAAGGAAAATAAAATCAGTTTCAGGGCTTACTTTCATATGAAAATATATAATTGGCACAATTTGTATTTGCTATCTGTGTATAAACCAAGCTGTAATATCGTTCTACCAACTGCTTGTGACAGACCTCCACAAAGAGCCTGAACGCAAGGAAAGATATAAACGAATCCTCCAAACATTTTATGAGTCCATATATGCATTACTGAAGTAACTTTCAAGCAACCCTTGGACTCTGGACAAAATTATTTCGTTGGAACTGCTGCAGTCTTCTGGCCCATAAGGTGGGCTGATAGTTAATACTCCTGCAACACACAGTTTTGACTGTGCCTCGCCTTGTTCTCTTACAGGGATATGGTTTTTCTCCAGCCAATTCTTCAAGCTGTTTTTCTTTTCCTCCAGCTCTTCTTTATTATAATTTTGACTTTCTTCGGGCATGAAGAGGTGGGCAAGCTTCTCTTTCATCTCATCATCTGCTTCAGCTGCTATTTCAACATCTTGCACGGCATGCCCCAAGATGACTGAAACAGATACCTTTCCATCCTCAAGGAAATTTGCTAAAAGAATGCTGTCAAGAAGAATTTACACAAAATATGACAATAAGTATGAAGTAGAGATGGGATATTCATATTCTTCTCCTGGGGGAGACGAATACAGATATCACCACCAGTAGCTGGGCCCATTTGATCCACCCCCCAGAACTGGCCAGTCCACTTATCACTCATGGTGCGGCGCACATTGGTCATGCCACACCAATCGTGAAAGTAGCTCTGTCAGGGCTTCCCCACCTCCCTGTGCTGCTGACCACTCCAGCAAAGGGGCGAGATGATGAGTCTCCCAGCTCAGCTGCTAAGTCGTCAGCAGTGCAGGGAGGCATTGTGTCCCTCCCTGTGCTGCTGACCACTCCAGCAAAGGGGCGAGATGATGAGTCTCCCAGCTCAGCTGCTAAGTTGTGAGCAGCGCAGAGAGGCGGGGAAGCCCTCGCTGAGCTACTTCCGCGATTGGCACAGCACAACCAACAACAGACAAGCATGTTGCAGCAAGTGGACCAACCAGTTGGTGTCAAAAGGACCCAGCCACCTGCAGTGGCGATAATCATATTTTTCTCCCATAGAACAGCTACATGCTGCCTTCATACATCCAGAATGGAAGACCAGGGTATCCTAAAGCAGGGGTGTCCAACCTTTCACCTTCCCTGGGCCACATTAGAAGATGAAAATTTGGTTTGGGCCGCATATAAATTTGGTTTGGGCCACACGGGGTGGCAGCCTAGCCATCCTCCGCAGCCCCGCTCCAAGCGCGCTTACCGGCAGCTGCGATCTCAGACAGCAGAGGCTGCCAGCTTCGACTCCGGAGGCTTTATGGGGCCAGGAGGGGGTCCACCTATTGACGAGGATGGCGCAATGCAATCATACAGCCCCCCTCTCCCCTCCTGCTCCTTCCTTCTCTTTCTCCCCCCCTACCGTTGTGACATGCCCCAGCCGCAAGCACCGGCAGAGTAACTTGAAACTTTGGAATTTCTTTAAAAATAAAAAATTGCACTGGGCCACATTATGAGCCGACCTGGGCCGCATGCGGCCCTTGGGCCACAGGTTGGACAAGCCTGTCCTAAAGCATGTATGGTGGATGATCAGTCCTACCAACTTAGTATGATTTTTTTAAAAACTTACTGCTATAGTGATATTGACACACTCCTGCCAACTCAAATGTATACCAACTAGAGATGTGCGCTTTTTGTTTCCAGGTTATATGAATATGAAGCGCAGCAGCACAGCTGCCACTGTGGTCACTTATTGGGCTCCTTGGTGCACGTGTGTCCGGCAGCTGCGACATCACACCACAATCGCGGACAAAGTCCGGCAGGCACTTTCCAACCTCTCACCGCAGAGGAACACTCCATCAAGGAGCCAGGAAGACATGTCTCCCCACTCAGCAGCTGAGCCATTGGCTGAGGGGAGACAAAAGGAAGCATTGGCAGGACGACGTCTGTGATTGGCACAATGTCGCCACTGCCAGACGCACACATGCCGAAGAGCCCAGGAAGTGAACCAGGCTGGTTGGGGGGGTGTATGTGAGACTGGACTGAGATGGCAGCTGTACTGCAGCGTTTCATTTCTTATCCCCTCCATATGAATACAAACTACACATCTCTAATACTGAGTACTTGATCATATTTGCTCACTTTTACTATTCCCATCATGGTACTTCAAATTACATTTTCTTTTTTTTCCCCTTCTACGTCTTCAGTTATCCTATTTAGGAAATCAGACTGAAAAAATTGTCACCTGACCAATCTAATAAAGGTTGAAATCTTGTTGCTTAGTGCAGTAAACAACACTAGAGCAGGCCCATAGAATCTGTGGGAATTTGGTGAGTTAACTCTAAGTTCCATTTATTCAAATAGGCTTACTCTAAAGTAAGTTGCAGTTAGAGTAGGGCTCATTTGTAGCAATGGAACCTATGGCGTTAATTCGCCAGAGCCATGGGCTTATTTTAATGCAACTTACAATACTGAGCAACAGGACTTCAGCCAAACTTTAATTTATAGTTTTTGATATGAAAAGGATCTGAGACCAAAACTGCAGATATTTTTACAATTAAGAAAACTTGAAACAATTTTAAGTACTCAAATGGATTGTTTACAATGGAATCTATACAAATCTACTCAGAACTAAGTCTCACTGAGTTTACTAGAGCTTACTCCCTAAGTACAGTACTTACAAAATTATACCCTTAATCAATTGTATGGATCTTTTAAGGATCCTCATCTTCACTATACTTTTTTCTCTTCTGACCCACTATTGTGAGAACAAATGCAGTGAGTTCCTACTTACTTAGCAGAGACTGGATCAACTGTTAAAACCCATCCTTCATACTGGTGATTCTCAGCAGCTAGAACTTTGACTTCTTTATTCATGTAAGTCAACCATTCCAAGGGAGTTTTCTTCTGCCACTCAGTCATTTTTTCCTATTTGCTGAAGTCAAAGGGAAAACAAAAACAAATACTGTATCAGCAAAAAAAATTTGTAACAAGTCAAAGCAACGGGCAGAACATCTCTATCCTGTCTACTGTTTCCCCCCAAAAACAAGCCCTAGTATGATTTTTCAGGATGCTCCTAATATAAGCCTTACCTCCAAAATAAGACCCAGTTAAGTTAAACCCCGCTCTCCACCATTGTGCAGCAACCAGAAGATAACATGACTGTAAAATAAGACATCCCCTGAAAATATGCCCTAATGCGTTTTTTGGAGCAAAAATTAATATATGACCCTGTCTTATTTTTGGGAAAACACAGTAGAAGCTATGAGTGACAAGACACAATCCTAAAAGCGTTTACTAAGGTGTAGGTCTCACTGTACTTCATCAAGCTGTTCCCCTAACACGGGTTTAGGACTACCTTTTAAAAGCAGAATCCTAGACATATATGTGCAGAAGTAAGCCTCACTAAATCTGATGCTGCTTTCCCCTAAAGAAACATATCCAGAATTGCATTTTAGAATATTCTCCGCACTGAAAGTTGCGCTCCCAGCTACCAAAGTTTTGGCAGCAGTGGTAACTACTCTTTCACTCTGACTAGATACAAAGTTGATATAACTTCGCTCTTAAGCTAGGAAAATACTGTACTTCATTTATTTATTTATTTAACTTAAATGCCGCCCACGCTTACCAAAGGTCTCTGGGCGGCTTACATTTACATAGTCTTTTGAGGCTGTTTTGGGTACCAAGCACAGAAGTTCCCTGTACGCCTTTCAACAGTCAGAAGGATAGATCTGTTGAACCAGATACCCATTCTGACATGCAAATTCGATATTGACGTTAAGGATTCAGGACACCCAAAAGGGCTTCCTTCTGCCGATCAGCCCTTCTTCTTGTACACGACAGCCTGGTCTATTTGCTTTGGCTCCGGCAAGTACTCTTTGCATACCGGCAGCCTCTCTTTCTTCCTACGGAACTAGAATGTGCACGCAGCAGCGTGTGTGATATATTTTTTAAAATAACTATAAATTAATTTAAGGCGGGGGGGACACCCTTTCCAATGCATACCTTCTTGTTTCGCTTTTGTAACTAACAGGGACGAAGGAACGGGCGAAGATGATGAAATCGCACTCCCCGCTCAGGTTGAACTGCAGGTTTGCAGCACTTCTGATGGGTTTACGATGGAAAGAAGCACGCTGAAGTCATCAATTCCGATTTAAAAACAAACTCGGGCTGTGAGTCAGGCATCCCCGCTTCTAGCAGCCGCAGCTCAAACCCGGAGCACCTTTAACAAACGCCCGGAGGCTTCCCCGTCTGTTTCGGGCCGCCCCCGCCGGGCTCTCCAGCATGCATCGGGCGCCCTGCCCTTTCCTCTCTCTCTCTCTCTTCCTCTTCCTCGTTCAGTCGGAGCCACATCCGGGAGGAGGGGCCGCGTCGATGCCATGCTGTGGGGAGTGGGTCCCCGGCTGGCCCCGAGAATAAAAAGGGGCTTTCAAAAAAAGGGACGCCCGAAAACCTGTGCGGCTCTCAAGCCCATTGCATTACTTTGTGGCTTAAAAGAGTGGCCAGATCTGATAAAGGGTTCCTGAACCTGGAACAATTATGACGACGAGGAAAGTACCAGTCCCTGTACACCTTAGCAGGCACACGCGACGTTTATTTAAACGACATAATAGGGATAGTACTGTAGTTTATTTCAGTGGTGCTTAACCTTGGGTTACTTGGGTGTTTTTGGACTGCAACTCCCAGAAGCCTTCACCACCATCTGTGCTGGCTGGAGTTTCTGGGAGTTGCAGTTCAAAAACACCTGAGTAACCCAAGGTTAAGAACCACTTTATCTGATGGAGGGGGCGCTTTTTTTAAAACTATAATTTTGGCGCGTTGAAGTGCTTTCCAGGCATACTGTATAGACATCGATTGGTTTTTCGGAGCAGAAATACTGATCAGCACCTGCAATTTGTTCCCTTCCAATCATTTCAACTGCTGGCGTCATTATGTGCACATTTCTGTACAATAATAGTTTTCATATTTGACACTGGATGTCAGCTGCCTGTTTGAAAGTCGATTCCTTGCTTGGGGTTATTTGAGGAATAAAAGGCGCTGCCATTGACATGCCTTTCCAACGGAAGGCGGTGACTTCCTTTCTTGCATTAATCCAGCTCTCGTTTTTCCATGAGGCCGTCGTGTTAAGTGTATTTCAGCAAAACCAACAATCCTTTGGGTTTTGCCAAAGAGTCCTTTCGTACAGTATCTCGAAGACTATTTGACCTAAGCTTTCCAAGGCTGCAGCTCTGGAAAGCATAGGTCTAATACGTTTATTCTTCCTCTTTTCTTACTGCTTTTAGCCGCGGGCGACGACATTCCTTTAAAAGCAATGGTGGAGATTTCTGATGGATATGCACAGTTAAGGCTTAGATCCCGAATTTTAGAAAAATGGAAAGCAAGCCTGTCATATCTTAAGAGCCTTGGCAGCAGCGTTCATGGGACTTGTAAGTCCTTTCAGAGCCCAACATTTCTGTGAAAGGTCGCTCCAGGATCTGCAGTTGCTTTGCGACGGACCTCAGAGATCCCAAAGCTTTCGTTCCTTTCCTGTAACTCCGAAAAGCACCAGGAAACCTCTTCATTTTCCTGTGAAACGCTTCCTCCGCTCCTTCGCACGGCGCCGTTCCCTTCTACCAACCCTCCTAAGAATCTGGGTCGAAAGTTCAAATCCGTGAAATGCCCGTCGGTGATGTTTACAGCGGTTGGCGGCCTCACGACAACCACAATTCACTCCAAATACCGCAAGCACCCTGGGTTTGAAACGAGAAGGGCGCGCAGCCCCTTCGTTGGTTCAAAATGGAGCCCAGCCGAGCTCCCCCAACAATATCAACCTACTATTACTATGGCAACAAAAGCCCGGCCGTTCCCGCCGCGGCCAACAGAGAGCAATGCGCATGCGCGGCAACGGCAAATGCTATATAAGACCCGAGAGCCCGCATGCGCGCGGGGAATAGCTGGTTGTCTGGTGGTGAGAGGATGTCGCGCTACGGCCGTTACGGGGGAGGTGAGTAAGGAGGGCCGGAGTCTGGGCTGCTGGTGGTGGTGGTACCGCTTTTCTCTCTCTCTCTCTGTTTCCTTTACTTAGCGTCTTTTGTGGTCACGGCAGGGCTGTGTTTGTAGTCGCATTGAGGTCCGTTAAGGCGACAAACCGCCTCTGCCGCCATTTTGCCCATGCTTTCTCGCCGGTCGCGCTGAGGTGAAGCCGTCCCATACTCCCTAGCATAGGGATGTCGGTGTGCAGTTACTTAAAATATGGCTCTAGACTGCTGAAGGAAAGTCACTCCACCGTTTCGAGCAAAAGTGACCGGGACTAGAGAGTTAATCTTCCCTTTCTTTTCCCAGAGGTATTGAAGCTGCGCGGGTAAAATGGAGGCGGTGCCAAAGATGGCGGCCGCGGCCAAGATGGCGGCGCCCAGGTTCTAATACCCGCCTTCGCGGAAGAACAGAAAGAGAGGAAGGCGGCGCGGGGGAAGCAAGGGGGGGGTGCCCGCCGGGGTGTGTAGGTGCGAAAGAGAGGGAGGGATGGGGTGGGGTCAGGTGTGTAGGAGAGGACGGACAGAGCGCCACAGAGAGTGCCCTTGCTGCCGTTTCTGGCCTGAGGCCATCTTATTTCGTGTCTGACCGGCGACAGATGGGTGGAGAAGTTTGCGTTCGCTGTGGATGTAGGTGGAAAGGCGGCTGTTTCTAACCTGCCGGGGACTTTTCGTGTCCTTATTGCGCGTTCGAGTGCTTTTTTCCCCCTTTTTAAAGGAGAGAAACTTTAAGCGTGGATCTCCGCATCATCTAGTGGCCCTAGCCCAAACTAGGTTTCAGACATTTTCTTATAATATTTCTTTTTTTTCCTGTGGTTACCTGAAGCAGGGTGTACTAGATTAAAGGGATCGGTTCCTTTACTTTCAATTGCTATTTATTGAAGATCCTGTTGCTTCACGTTTTATTTTATCGAATTCAAAGTTGCTTTTATTATTTACTTGTATGTCGTGAAATAGCTGGCTGGATAGGTGGCAGCTAGATTGCTAACTGGGGCTGGTTACAGCAATCGCATCATTTTCCAGGCACAATGCAAAGTGCTGGTTTGAACCTATAAAGCCATAAACAGCCTTGGTACCAGTTGTCTCCATTTATGAGCCTGCTTTGGGAGTTAGGATAATCTGCTGCTCTGCACACCTTCAGCAGATTATGATTGATGGGGACATGTGAGAGCCCTCTCTGTTGCTGCTTCTGCGCTCCATCCCGCAAGAGACCAAGCTGGTCCCATATTTCATGTTCCTTAGCAAGCAGACAAAGCCCTTTTCTTTTTGGTGAGTTTTCTCTTAGTGACTGTCTGCCTCAGTTGGTTTTTTTAAATGGGTTTTTGTCCTTTACTGTTTTGAATGTGGCTTGGTGTTGCTTATGTCTTTTAGTATGGTATTTGTTCAATACCTTTTAATATTTTATGCTCAATGTTAGCTTTTAATATTGTCTTTTAATGATGGAAGCCGCCTTGAATCCTTTTAAAGGAGAAAGGTGGAGTGAAAATATTATTTAGTGGCTTCAGTATCTGGCTCTGCAGCCAGATGTTGGGACTTTGAAATTCCCCCCCTTCTTGTGAGTAGAGCCAGCTTGTATGTCCTTGGGCAAGCTGCGCAGCCCCAGAACAAGGGAATAGTAAATCACTTTGGGCTATTCTCTGCCTGGAAACCGTTATTATATGTGGCAAGTGAGGGAAAGAGCCAAACATAAAAAATGGCATTGTGGTGCATTTTTTATTATGTCAAATGTGATCCTCTTGTTTAAGTCCTTTAAAGAAGATGCCACAAGTGATAAAATGCCTATGAAAATTGCTTGTAGATCTTGGAAAAATGCAGTATGTTTCTGCATTAGAATAAATATTTAACCCATCTGACTTGAGTTTTAAGATTTTTATCAAATGAATTGCCCTTGTAGCAGATCTTGTGGGAATCATTGGAGGGAAAATTCTAAGTCTTTTGGCATATGTTTGAAGACTTTCATGGCTGGAATCCGATGGTAGTTGTAGGTTTTTCGGGCTGTTTGGCCATGTTCTGTTGGCATGTTTTACTTATAAGAATTTCAAACTTTTTTTTTACAGAAACCAAAGTATACGTTGGCAATTTGGGAACTGGTGCTGGTAAAGGAGAGCTTGAAAGAGCATTCAGCTACTATGGGCCTTTACGTACAGTGTGGATTGCACGAAACCCTCCAGGATTTGCTTTTGTTGAATTTGAAGATCCAAGAGATGCTGAAGATGCAGTTCGTGGTCTAGATGGAAAGTATGTAGAAATGTTAAATATTGTATTTTTCAGTCTATAAGACACTACTTTTTCCTAAAATCATTGCCCTTAATATTGAGGAGCTAAGTTTTATTAATTTTTGAGTTAGAAAATTGGGTGGGAGATGTTATGAATGGAGGCATGTTATAAACAGAAAAATATCGTGTTTAGGTGCAGGAATGTGATGTAATTTTTAAAGACAATTATTAGATAAATTCAATAAAATATTTGTCGATTGTAGGGTGATCTGTGGCTCCAGGGTTAGAGTGGAGTTATCAACTGGTATGCCTCGCCGGTCTCGCTATGACAGGCCTCCAGCTCGGAGGCCATTTGATCCTAATGATAGATGTTATGAGTGTGGGGAGAAAGGTCATTATGCTTATGACTGCCATCGCTATAGTCGTCGTCGGAGAAGCAGGTATGTATACATTTGAGTATCATTCTAGCAATTAATCATAATTTTTGTTATCAAAGAAAATAATGTATCTTTTTTTAAATTAATATTGTAATTTTGTGGGGTATATTACAATTGTTTATATTTTGTCTTAAAATGCTAATATGTTAATAATCAACCTGGTCAAAACCTTTCAGGTTTCTTCGTTTGAGTCAGTCGCCTTGATTCAGAATGTCACGAGCCTTAAGATTTCATGCTGAGGCGCCTTGCAAATCCGACAATTAAGATCCTCCTAGACCTTGAGGTGATCAGCATAAGAGGCCAGATCCCCTCGAGCCATCTACACCTAGCTTCACCTTATTCATTAATGGGCAGAAAATTTGAGACGGTGATCGCCGTAACAGTAAATTTGGCTTTCAATTGGGGCCCCCTCCGGTTTAAAAAGAGGAACACCAGATTGACCACATTCCCACCTAGAAAAATCTTCCTGCGTCAATCAAGCCTCACCTGGCTCATTTGGCTGTCAGTTTGATCGTCGTTAGATTGAAGAGAACACCTAGATGCAGCGACCGGCTATAGATACTTCTAGATCGTCTAGATCTGCTAGACCTTGGGCCAAAGAGGGTCGACCTGCAAACTTGCAAGGTTTATTTTAAATACACATTACAGTGTTTTATATTATTATGTAATTCTAAAATGTTATGCAGTTTAACATCTTTTTTAGGTAGTAAAAATACTCAAGACAAATAGGCCCTGAATTATTATTTTTTTTTTCAACTGACAGACATTAATTTTTAGATAGCTGATATTTTGACTTCGGCAAAGGCTCACATATTAACTGTTGAACTTGTAGTCTAATACTGGTCTTCTCTAACCTAAAACTAGGTCACGTTCTCGATCTCATTCAAGGTCCAGAGGAAGGAGGTACTCTCGCTCACGCAGTCGAAGTCGTGGCAGGAGGCAAGTATCTAAATTGGTGGGACTTTTTTATTTCAAGAAAAATAGCTTACTTTTAGAACTCTGAATTTTTATTTTATATTGTTTTAGATCCAGGTCGATCTCAGCTCGCAGATCTAGATCACTCTCTCCTCGTAGATCTAGATCTATCTCGCCACGCAGATCTCGTTCAGGTTCTTTAAAGAGATCGAGGTAATTTTGGCTAATATGTTTTCATGGTCGGAAAGTTGAATACCTGCTGGCTGATGTCTGTGGTATCAAGTTATATTGCTCTGTCTGCACATAAATAGAGGCAATCTCAAATTGTTTTCTTTTATGTGACTTGCATGCATGTGCTGGAAATCATAGAATTGAGTGGTTTCTTTTAAAACCTAGGTCTCGATCCAGATCAAGGTCCAGATCCAGATCTATTTCAAGACCTAGAAGCAGGTAAACTTTGTTCTGCTGCTGTACAATAGTAGTTTTATTACATATGCAATTAGTAAGTGTTACAAAGTCAAAGTATTAATATTCAAAGTGGTTTTCAGCATTCTCAAATAAAAGGTGCCTTGTACAGCATTGTAGCATAGTGGTTAAAGTCCAGTACTGCAATGAAGCAGTTCTATCCTTGATCAGGTAGCTGGCTCATGGTTGATTCAGTCTTCCATTTTTCTGAGGCTGGTAAATTGAGTACCCAGCTCACTGGGCAGGGGGCAATGTTTAGCTTGCGTAATTAAAATTAAACAAACCAGAGACAACTTCAAGAGCTATGGGGTGGTATATAAACAGCACTCCTTTTTTCCAGTCACTTTGCTATTTCGTTTCACAAGTTTGTTCAGGGCATTTAAATAGGCTTGTGTTTTCTGTGCATTTTAACTGCTTAGCACAAAAGTAACTTAATTGTAAGTTACCTGTGTATTATAGTTCATAATAATGCTTCATAAATGATGGCTCCTAGCTATCATTGGGTTGGTTGTATTAAAGCTAATTAATTTAATTTGTTTTAACAGCCGCTCCAAATCAAGGTCACCATCTTTAAAGAGAAGGTAAGCTGAACTCTCGATAAGTACCAAGTGTTCATGCAGATAAGTAAAGCAGTAAAATTAAATGTAGAATTAATTATTAAAGATGTGTTTCTCCACTGCGTTAAGTTCTGCTTTTAAATTGCACTAGAGGAAGAGAGATTACAGTGATAGATTAAAGCACAAATTGGCATTTCTGTGGGGTGGGAAGATCGATGCACTGCTACCCGTACTCCTCAAAGTTGAAGGAATATAACCACTTAGTTTTATGCAGAGTAATTAAATTAAAGTTAAGTTCAGAGTCAATCACAAGACAGGGTGGTTTATACATTAACTGAGCACAATAACCTTGCCTGCATTAATGGACAATAAATGTAAATGGCTCAAAATTAAACTGAAAACACTTGAGTTATGACTGAAGCCTTCAGTAGATCAAGAGAAAATCTCTGCTATACTGCAGAACAGTCTCTGTATAACGAACAGCAACTAGCTGAATTGTCTTAGCTGAGTTAAAAAGTATGTGCATTTTAGATACTCAGATTGAGTATGTGTGTAAAAGCATTTTTACTTGATTTAATCTTCAGTCTTGCTTTTTCAGTTTTGCTATGAGCCATTTATATCCATTCTCCATTAACTCAGGGTAAGTATGCTTCTTGAACACTTGTGAGCTTGGTGGTATCTTTCCATGGGAGTGGGGTGCATGCAAACAAAAGTTTGCTTCAGTATTTAACGATAAAAGCTTATAGCCTCAACTTCACTTCCAACTAACAACTTTTTAAAATCATCTGACTAATTAGTAGGATTAAAATTGCACACTTAAGTGCAGGTAGCATGGATCTCCTAGTGAGAACACTAATCTCTCTCATATTTTTTAACTAATTTAATGTTGGGTAACTTCTAGTGACATGGTTTTCCTCTTCATTTTTAGCCGTTCACCATCAGCAAGTCCTCGAAGGAGCGTGAGTCCTGAAAGATTGGACTAAAATTGCAAAGAACATGTTAGGAAGAGTTTTGTTTACGTTATTTTAAGGGATTTTTGGTGTTATTGATAAATGTAAAGATTTAGTTGATCAAAACCCTTTTTTAGGCCTAATGCAGCAAGGATCTGGATCTTTTAGTAAAATCAATAAAAGCTGCTACAGTAGACTAGTGCACAATTTCTTGTTTGTAACAACATCCTGTGATCTGAAAAGTGGGTCTTTTTACGGGCACATTAAATAAAATGTGTATTTCTAACTTTGCTGTAATGCTATTTACTTTTGTTAATATTTGAGGTGCATGGTAAACGTAAATTCCAAACAGCTACCTTATGTTGTACCCAGATACTGTATAAGGATGTCAGTTTCGAATAATTGTAACTATAACTAGCCTGGCTTCATCAAGCTTCAATGTGGCTTTAATTTGGTGCTTCAGGCTACCTGGCATAATACAACTTGCAAAGGTGTATTAAGGAAGTTGCTGTTTGTCTGATTCTATAATGGTATATATACATGAGCATTCAAGTACAATCTGTCAACTTGAAAACAGAGGGATGCCTTTATATCACAGCAGGCACGATACTCTGAGGTATATTCAGCTGGCCATTTTGTTTGGCTTGTCCCTGGAATAATAAAATAGCATAGGCTTTGGGGCTGTTCCTCTTTGTTTTATAAAATGTAACAAGTGAACTGGGTAGGTCTCTGAAGGTAATATCTCTGAAGCAGAGAGAAATCATCCTATTTTAGGAGGTCAGAATTTGTGGTTCATTATTTTCTGTCCTTTGGGGGGGAAGTGTGCAAGTTCAAACTGTAGTATATTAGGTCTTCTGTGGCCCTTCCTGTGCCATTTACAGCACACATGTGCTGCCTAACCAGCTATAACTCCCATTTAAGGCTTAATAACCTGCTTTTGTAACGAGATCACTACTTATTGGTTAATTAAGCTTGGCATACTAACAAATATCTGGGGTTTATGCTTAAACAGATGGGAGATGTCAGCCAACTTCACGCCCTAATTCAATTGCTTGTTTTAGCTAGGGTGGTAAACCCACGGAATAAATCACTGAGTGGTAAATCAACACTTGGTTCAATTCCCAATTTTAGTTAGAATTAGAATGTACTTCGGTGCAACCATTTTTTTATTAAGCATGTTTCATTTGGAAATACTGTCTGATGGTCTGCAGTCAATATTGTACAAAATAGCTTTGCATATAAATTTTACTGCAATTTAATTGCTGTCTAATCAGAATGCATAAATGGACTCCAGTGAAAAAGGGCTGAAAGCAGTATTTTAATATCCCTGTTAGTCAGAATGCAGTAACTTCCGTTTTTGCTTTTAAACTGTTTTGACATGGATATATTTATGATAGTAAATATGCTGTTTCTGAGAAATAAAATTCCTTACCATTTTGTAATCCAGCAAGTTGCTTAGTCACTTTTACAATTGGCAGTTTTCTTAACTTGCTCATAAGATTTTGAAAAATACAGCACTGAAAACATCACAAACAGTACCTATCAGGCAGTGGTTGTGTATGGTCTAGGTCGTCAGTATTTAACATGAGATCTTAACAGAATTCCTATGCTCTCTTACTAAGCATAGGATAAATTGTAGTGCCCAGGAAGACAGAAATAATTGGATATGAATAGAGCAGTGGTCAGGGAACAGGGGTAAATTACCCCAAATAGGGTACAAATGAAAATCCTGGGGACCTGCGGCGCCTGCCTCCCCTTGACAAGGATGTACTGGCTGCCCGAGTGGTGGTGGCAGGTCCTGGGCAAGTTCAGAAGCGGGGGGATAATGTTGACGGATAATTTTGGGGGGAAGGTAAAAAGTAAAAAAAAAAGTTCTCTGACCCCTGGAATATAGAGTTCTGTTGGCAAAAGATTGCTGCGGGACCTCTGTGACAGTCGTTCAGTGTGTTGTCCTGCTGCTCTACAGTATAGCCATGTTCTTTGGCCACTGTTGCATAGAAGGCGTGCTCCCTAACCTTGGGCCTCCAGGTGTTCTTGGACTAGAATTTCCAGAAGCCTTCACCACCACTCCTGCTGGCCAGGATTTCTGGGAGTTGCAATTCAAGAACACCTGGGTTACTCAACGTTGGCAGAGGTAAAAAGTAAAAAAAAAAGTTCTCTGACCCCTGGAATATAGAGTTCTGTTGGCAAAAGATTGCTGCGGGACCTCTGTGACAGTCGTTCAGTGTGTTGTCCTGCTCTGCAGTATAGCAATGTTGTCCTCCTTTGGCCACTGTTGCATAGAAGGCGTGGTCCCCAACCTTGGGCCTCCAGGTGTTCTTGGACTAGCACTTTAAATCACTCTTAAATATCTTGCTTGCCTTAAACTCTATGGGATTACTCTTATGTCAGTACTGACTTGATGGCACATAACACACAATGTAGTCTATCAAGAACTCCAGTGTGGAATAAATAGACAAATGGGTACGTTTTATTATTGAAACAATGTAACCTCCACAATGTAGCACATTGTATTTTACTCAATACTAGTTATATGCCATGAGCAGTGCAGTGGAAAAAGTGAGACAAGGACTCTGAAGACCAAGGTTCAAATCCCCATTTGGACGTGAAAACTCACTAGGGAAGCGGAACTGGTAAAAAAATCACTTCTTAATTGTCCCACTTACCTTAAAAGCCTTTTTAGGGTTGATAGAATTTGTTCTGATTTAACAGCCACATAACCAACAAACCAGTTATATGTTAGTCCCATAATACACATTGGTTTGATTTCCCACTATGTTTTTCCAGAAACAGCAACAAAAACATGTAGCACATCCATTATACTTTACAGAACCTTCAGATTTTACTTGGTATGTACTCTTCCATAGGTAATGCATTTTTCTCTTCTGCCAGGGGCAGGATATCTCATCTATTTTGATTTGGGTTGCAGTACCTCAAAGCAACAATGCAGTCCCCCAATCAATATGTTCTTCCTGCATTTCATTTCCCATTTATTTTAACCATGAATTAATCAGCAAAAATTCCTGTGTTTCTCATTATTAGTGAGCTTTATTTTGTTTTAAGATTACTTTCTCTTTATTCATGTTAGTATTTCTCTCTTCATCTCAATTTAAGAAATCCTTAAAGCTGCAGTAAATCCTCATTTCAAATGCTTTCTTAATAGTTGCCTGTGTCAGACTGTTATTTTGTTCCATATACTGTAGTAGAACTTAAAATATATAGCACTCACAAATCAGTATTAAGGAGGATTAAATTACCTAAGAAGCATTTTGGGATTCTGTTTTTTACTGACTATGTGGCAGCTGTGCAACACTGAGTGGAAACTGGGAAATTAATGAGAAATGGCTCTTAAGTATGCCAGTCAAACTTTAATATCTGGAGATCAGAAGCAGCATACTGACTTGTACCAAAAAAAAATCAAACTGGCAAAGAGGCTCTCTGTACTGGATTCTCCCTTTGTGTATACCATAAATGCTGAAGTTTTATTCAAAATAGGATGGTATTGGCAGGTTCAGAAAAAGACAAAGATTTGCAGAAATATTTCAAACTAGGCAATCCAGTTGAGGGCTGAGAACAGTCTGGAATACTGCTTGATTAATGAACGAAGAAGGGGGAATAAAAATGATACCTCAAACACGAAATAGAAGCACTTTACACTGCTGTAGCATTTCATTGTTGACAGTATATTTAGGTATTAAGTGAGTTTGTGTAGCAACCACTGTACATAAATAGCTTAGAAATAGGAAGAACGAAGGAACACACGGCATTCTGAACCCTCAATAATTACATAGAAGGATTTGCAGCGTATGCAGTTTTTTGTACATGTGGCATCTGAAATTTCCTGCTAGTGTGATGTAGCGATTACTGATGGACTAGGACTCGGGAGACCTAAACCAGAGTTCAAACCCCTGCTCAACCATGGAAATTCATTGGAGCAGCTGCCACTCCCTAAATACTTCACATACCATAAACTTAATTTCTGCATGGCAGGGAAACGGTTTTGACGCAGTGGCTCATGTACAGCTATCTGCTGATCTCATGGCTGACAGTAAGTTTTAAACTACGACTTTCAAGTCTCCTCTGAGTGAATGACCTCTAGAATCTGCCTTCAACAGCCCTGCTCAGCCCTTGTAAACTCGTGCCTATACTGTAGTTTCTTCCATGCAGTCAATCCATTTCACGTTTGGTCTTTTTCTTTTCCTGCTGCCTTCATTTTTTCCTTGCGTTATCTTGTTTTCTCATGATGTGCCCATCATGTGTGATCTAATATACATACAGTTTATAGAATATTTTCTGGAAGAGGGGTGATGATGATTTATTTATTTATATTTTTTTCTTTATTTGATTTATACCCACCCATCTGTGCCAGAATGCCTTGCCAGAAAAAAAAAAACATCCTTGTCCATCAATGGCTTCAAGAACTGACAAAACTTGATTAAAAGCTATGTAAGGCTGCAAGTGATCATTGCTTCTATTATAGAATCATAGAATAATTGAGTTGGAAGGGACCTATAAGGTCACTGAGTCCTAGTAGGTTACATAGCCACCATTCTCATTCTTTAGGATGAGTACATGCATACTGTTAGAATCAAGGCACATCTGATTACATAATGAACAATTTGGAATCTGCTTCAATGACTCCCTTACAGATCACTACAAAATTTCCTTTTGACTCCTCAAGATACAGAAAACCTGAAACAGCTTGTTGTATTATATTCTTCTCCTGGGTGCAGCAGGGAGTTTGGGAAATTTGGCTGAAAAAAAGAAACACCAAACATTGTTCTTAGAGAAGACTACTCAATGTTTTTGCATTTGAAACAAATATTGCATCAACAAGATACGCATTTCCCAAGTACAGTGGATTTATGCACATTTGTGTAAGAAATGTGATCCTGATTCATCTCGCCTAGTTCAAAGCTGAGATTCAGACCAGGTACTTCCAAGCTTATATACACCAACAGGAAGAAGGACTCATCTTTCCACATATATTGTTGTAAGCCGCCCAGAGACCTTTGGGTAGAGTGGGCGGCATATAAATTAAATAAATAAAGGTAGGTAGGTAGGTAGGTAGGTAGGTAAACTTCTGTTCAGTGCAAATTTGATGTATAATTTTTAATATGTTAAGTGTTTGAGATTAAAAACCATGCTATATGTACAGACAAGTCACATTTTTCTGAATTTTGGGGGATAGCAACTTTTGCCAAGGGGAAGTCACCTTTCTGAATCTTACTATGCATAAGATGAAAACTTCACACTAAAAAGCAGCATATTCATTAGAACTTTCCTATCAAAACCACACATGGTTTCCCACTTGTGTGTTGATATGAAACTACTGAAGGCCAACTGTTCCGTTAAATTTGTTGAAAGAACCATAATGAAGAAGAAATAATTAAAACTTGAGTCCCAAGACAAATATTTTGTCCAGGTTCTTCTGTGCTTTCTTAAAATGAGGATGAAATTAACATACCTGATTCACTGCATCTGGCCAGTTCTGTGTCTCAAAACAGAAGCCAGAATGCTTGGGATACACATGGCCTCCTTTACCTTTCAGAGTGCCATCTAAGAAATTGCCTGTATAAAATTGAATCCCGGGCTGAGTTGTGAAAACTTCCATCTTCCTGCCACTAGGGGGGTGGTAAACTCTGAAAAGAGAATGGTTCTCACATTAGACTTTGCAGACAAGCACTTAAGCATAATGGTGCAGTTGATCTACTTTAAACAGATAGTGGTCCATAATAAATATGGATAGTAACCCAGTCATATTAAAACGCACACACACATATAACCAATTAAATGCTGCCTGCACACTAACCTGTGACATCTAGCACCTCTACTCACTGAAGTATCACTGCTACATCAAGACACAATTATTACAGTATCCAGGATTTTAAAATGGCTAGATAACTCAGTGAGGTGTCTGGCAGACGCTGGGAGTTCGATTCCCCACTGTAGTGTCCCCAGAGAAGTCTGTAGCCTTGGCCAAGTGCCACATTCCCAGGACAAACCCAGATAAGCCACTTTTGGGTATTGTAAGCCTAGAAAACCTAGGAAAGGGTTGCCATAAATCAGAATTGGAATGCCTTTAACAACAGTTCCCATGTAGAGGTTTTTCAAAATAATCCGTAATTCAAAAGGAATATGAAAGTATATACGTATTGACTTTATTGCTCATCCCAATGTCTGTGATCATAACAATGCAAGTTTTTTAAAAAATTCTCAACAATGACCACTTCAGAGATATGTACTTGGCAATAAGATCCAAATTCTATAAAGGTGATCGTTGTGGGTTTTTTGGGCTCTTTGGCCATGTTCTGAAGGTTGTTCTTCCTAACGTTTTGCCAGTCTCTGTGGCCTATAAAGGTCATTTATCCAACCAGAGTTATGCCAGCAAGTTAAATTTGCATAATTATAAAACTGCATAAATGCATAAAATTGCTTCTGTATATTCAGGGGCAATACAGCTGTTCTATGGCCTTCCTCACCCAAATCTGGGGCCACTCTGGAAAGCAGAATGAAACGTTCAGGGATCTTGTGGAATAGCATCTAATCCAATGCAATGGGTGTGGTGTTCACCCTTGTGGCCCCTGATTGTCTTTCCCTCACAAAGGTTCATGTCACATTTTCTTCTCGCTACCACCAGTGGATTACCTCACTCCACAATATAAATGACTTTTGTCTGAACAATTGACTTGTGAACAGAAACAGAACTTATTTATTGAAGTGAAGCAGATTGGATAATAACAAGTTTCTTAGATAAACATTATACACAAGCAAATCATCAACAGTTCTCTCAGTACATACTTCTTTTCTCACTATATCATTACCACCTTCTCTACCTATTTTCCTAATCAGCTCTATCTCAGTATCTTGCCCCGCTCTCTGGCTAACCAGCCCTATCTCTGACTTCTCCTCCCGCCAAACCTCATGTAGCTGCTGACTCCACCTCTCCTCCAGTCCTCTCATAGGCTCATGCAGATCAGCCCATGACTATGAATGGTATGAGTGACATGGGCAATCATCACAATGGGGTACAGTAGGAATAATTCCCATGTCTAAAGAAATATTTCAAATGCATGCAACAGACCTACTCAGTTGGATCCAAGATCTGCCTGCCACAGAAAGGTTTCTCTCCTCTCAGTCCTCATTTTCACACAGCCTTCTGTTTCTCCTACACATATACCACAGTTAATCTAATTTAGCAAGATCCCCTGACTAGCAATTTTGGGGGAATGGAGAGGCTGCCATATGTATTTCAAATACCACTATTCTGCTTTGGTCAGATCTTCCTGGAATATAGGCTGCAATCCTGTTGCTTAGCGTAGCAATTTTCCACTACACTAGGCAGACTGAATAAGAGGAGTTGGTGTGTCAACTCCTCCATGGCATTACATGGATCCAGATGTGCTGATTCTAGTTACTTTAGCATAGTATGTCTAAGCAATAGGATTTCAGTCACTGTGTCTAGCTCTGGGTACTACAGTTTAAGAAGGGCATGTGTGATTTGAAACATGTCCAGAAGATGGCAACAGGATTGTAAAAGGTCTAAAAACTAAGCCCAGTGGGGAACAATTGAAGGAGCTGGATATCTTCAGCCTGAAGAAGATAAAACAGAGGCGAAAGGATATCCATCTTCAAGTATCTGAACGGCTGTCATGGAGCAAACTTGTTTTCTGTAGCTCCAAAGGGTAGGACCAAAGTAGTGGCTTTAAATTATGAGAAAGGAGATTGTGCCTAAACATTAGGAAGAACTTCTTGACAGAGCTATTGGCTTGCCTTAGAGGATGATAGCTTTCCTAAATTGGAGCTTTTTCAACTGAGGTTAGATGATTACCAGTCTGGGATGTTTCAGTTATGAATTTCCTATCTTAGCATGAATTGGACTGTGGCTCCTGGGATCTGTTCTACAAATCTGTGTATGATCCCAGCTGCAACAGAATTCACAGATTTCACGCCACCACAAAGGACACTCAAAACGGTCTCAGGAAAAGTATCCATATATATGAGACCTTTATGGCAGTTTAGAGCTTATGTAATCCTTATTCCAGTTTCCCACCCCAAGGGAGGCCCATAAGTCATCTGCTAGAAGAAGGGCCTTTTTTGTGGTGGCCCCAAACTTGTGGAACCAAGTCTGGAGGAGTGTCGCCTGGCCCCCTCCCTGTAGAGCTTCAGCAGGAACTGAAGACGTGACTTTTCAGGAAGGCTTTCCACACTGACCCTAGCTGACCAACTTCTGGCCACCATTTTGTTGTCCTATAGTTTTAGCACCATCTGGTTTTATTGGTTAGTTGTTATTTTGGTTTTAAATAGTTTTAGTTTTGTTTTGGTTCGTTCATTATTGTAAACTGCCCAGAGTAGTGCTTTGGCACTAAATGGGGAGCAGCATACATCTTTAAGTAATAAATAAATTCTGTCTTTCTAGTCCTGCAGCTTGGGTGTCATTTGATTTTGGTCTTTGAATATGGCAGCTTTGAGGAATGCTATTGCATTGCATCTACACCAGACCCAATACATTCTTCTACCTGCACTTATTTTTCACACTTATTTTACCTTGAATTATCAGCTACTATAATTTTACTTTGTTCTTCATTATGAAACTGGAGTATTCTAGCTTTCTATGTTTCATGACAGTTATCTCTTGGGTTGCTAAAATTAACTTCCATCAGAATCTGGGCTTTCTATAGCAACATCAGTCCTGTGAAAAGTTGCTTCAAATAATACCTCCCATGCTCCCCACTCTCTGCAGCACATAAAATTATTCCAGTTGTTCTTTGGAAACCATCATTTGACATCCATGGTGGCTATTCTTCTTACCTTTAGTGGGGAGTGGAACTGTAATTATCTGCTTTATTGCATGATTTCAAGATGTATATCACTTATATTGTATGAATAGTGGGAAATAAGTAATATTAAATAAATCAGAGAAGAAGAAGAAACAAAATAAGAGCCAATGTATTCACGAAGGTTTTCACGGCCGGGATCTAATGGTTGTTGTGGGTTTTTCGGGCTCTTTGGCCGTGTTCTGAAGGTTGTTCTTCCTAATGTTTCGCCAGTCTCTGTGGCTGGCATCTTCAGAGGACAGCACCATCTCCTGAAAAGGACAAAAGCTGATCTCACAGCCATAAATACTCCACTCCCAAGCCAACTACACCAGAGCACAGAGTGCTGTCCTCTGAAGAGCCCGAAAAACCCACAACAACCAAAATAAAAGTCCTTTGTTGATAATGCTCTTTACACAGGAAGAACAAACGTCTTGCACAAACGTTTACCTTGCACAAAAGTTTGGCTCTTTTGTCTGTGTCAGACAAAAATTGTGGTCAAACCCAGTGAGCTGAAATTTCTGCAGGTGTTTTCCAAGTTCCACTGGCTTTCTCAGATCAAAGGCTGTATCCTGCACTGAAGCAACTTCTCCTGATGGAAAGAGAATGAAGATCAAAAAGGAAAGTTATTTCATTATGCTGATTTTTACCCAAATTTGGTGGGAACAAGGATAGTTCCATAAAAGAAACCCAAACAGCAGTAACCTGAGCACATATTAATCTATGTAAGATTCCCAATTTATTGCTGATGTCCACATAGACAGAAACATGGGACACAATAATATTCACTCGTGCAGCAGTCTAAGGGCAAGTGCAAAAGCTACTCTTCTCACATTTGCTATGAGAAATGC